GGGAACCCCTAGGAAATTGCAACGACCTCGTCCACCTGGATGAGTACCTCACTTTACAAAATGTAAGGGAACCAGAAAAACTCCCTATCAAAGAAGACAGGGAACTCTCGGCATCACTATGCCCCCAAAAACGGAGGCAGAGGAAGTAAAGCTGAGGGACGATGGCCCACAGCCAAGAGCGTGGGAAAGTTCTGGGCGAGTAACTCGCCTGGACAGCCACACCATGTACTAGAGATCACATGGGCCAGGCAAGTAACTCACCTAGACCACGTGAACCACAGGCTCACGTGTAAAAGAACACACAACTGTGGCAAATCCCACGCACGCAAGAACAAAAACCCCTCCCACCACCACGAGAAACATAACAACGAAATGTCGTTCTCTGGGGGAGGCAACCCTCGGTTCGATCCAAACAAGCCACCGGACATCGAAATACAACAACCTGGGGAGCAAGGCTCCCTGGAACAACAACAACACCAGGTGCAGATAAGCGCCATGGACTACACGACGCATGCAGCACAAATGAGTGCCACGAACCAACAACCATCCGCGTTGCTAACAGGCACCGCATACCCCCAGCCTCCTCAGAGGGGCTTCCAACCATACGCGGTGCAAACTGCACCGATGGCGCAACAAGCGCCATTCCAGGGGCAGCATTTGCTGCTGCAGCCCCAGGCATACTCCCCAGGGAACTTCCCTGGCCAGATCAACCCCTGGATTGGCCAATTCGGCCCAGGTCCAACAACACCCCAGCCAAATGCAGGCTGGGAATCAGCCATCGCATCAGCGGTAGCTGCTCAGACAGGTCAGCTCCGTGAGGAGCTGAAAGAGATGAAGGAGGGAGACGAGGGAGCGACAGCGGCTCCTCATCCAGACCGTCCAAACGGGCACGGTCTGATAACTCGAGGGCGTCAGAAGATGCCTGCGACCATTGCACCCACTGGAGGCACGAATACAACAGAGCACAAAGAGACGCCGAGGGCATCTTCGACTCTCTGAAAGACACAGAGAGAGAGGTCGATCTCCAAAAAAGGGAGATCGAATTACTGAAACACGAGCTCAGAGAGGCACGTGCACTGGCAGACCTCGCTGCCAAACCCATTATGACGGGGGCCTCCCAGGTCAGGGGGAGGGGATATGGTGCCGGGGCACCGACTATCCCGCCACCCCGTGGGCAGGCGACCCTGTCCGGGTTGCATAAGGGCCCGCCCTCAGAAGGGCAAACCCATGTCGAGGGGAAGAGGGAGCAGTAGGCAACCGATGGCAGACCCTAAAATGGGGACCACTGCCAGAGGCGGTGGGCCACTGAGTACTTCAGCACCCTATGGGCAAGCTACCCTGCAGGGAAGTGTCCACATGCTATACGAGACTGCCGAACTCAACGAGTTCGGCAAAGTCGAAGCTCCAGTCGACATAACAATCGACCCCAACTTCCCCATGAGGAGAATAGCGGGGTCAGAAGCAGCGCACGACGCTGCATACGCTTGGTGGACAAGCGCGAGTGGGAAAGATTTCGTACATTGGTACAAACAGGCCGAAGCTGCCTTCAAAAGCGGCAAGGTACACAGAACCCTTCGCAAAAAAGCAAAGGAAACCAAGAAATACTTCTTGGGACTCCTGAGTATTGCAAGACTCACGGAGGAGTATAATTCCCCAGAGAACAAGGGAAAAATCTCCTGGGAAAGTCTAGGCAAAGCCGCCTATCTAAAGTCCCAGTTCAAACCACTCAGGACTCCTGAGGAACATGCCGCAAAAACTGCGGAGCGGGAAGCGAAAGCTTCCAAATACCAGGAAAGAGACGCAAGTCTCTGCGCTGGACAACCAGCCCAACGACCACCCTTCCCCATGGGAAGAACGGTAGACCTACTGTACTCCACACCTGAGCCAAGTAGCTCAGGAACACAACAACCCACTCCCACCCAGGGAGCGCCTACTTCGTCGAGCCCACAGCCCAACAATGTAGCCCAGGCTACGTCATCGCATCCGACACAGCAATCAGATGTCCAGATGAACAACCTGGAGGAAAACCCTCCTCCGGGGCAATGACTCCACCCTTGAGAAAAGGGAAAGTGACACAGTAATACGCCATCGAGGCGCCCGTGAAAACACCTTCCCCCAACTCGAGGCCCCACACACAATACTGTATGCAAGGAACCGCAAGTAACAATTGCGGAAATCTCTACTCCATCAAAAGACCCACATCCACCACCGCTCGTGTGTAAACACCACTTACACACGAACCCTCATGGAACAAGTGAGGAACACCAAAGACATACAACCTTTGGGTTGAAATTCATTTCCAACAAACTCCACTACTTTTCTCCCTGCGATACCCATGTATCGCCGTTCACTTCAAAGTAACGGCCCACACTCACTTATTCCCTAAACCCTTTTTCTCTCCTTCACCAACATGTACAAAAATCGCCCACTTTAAAGTGGCGACAACAAAACACTCATTGATAATTTCAAACTCAATGTAAATCAATTATTAAAAACTTTGTTTTCTTCACCATCAACCTTGTATGCATCGCAAATCGCAAATGCAATGCAAGGGGGGAGAATGTCAGGGCAATAGCCCCGAACCCCAAGCCACATGTAATTAGATACATATAGTCACGTGGGTAAGCGGGAACCTCCGGGTAACTGCTTACACACTACCGTAAAATACACACATTTGTATCACTTATGGCTCTGTGTGCTGAGCTACCCCAGAGACCTCACATAAGCAAACCTCTTTGATAGCATGCAAGGGAGTAATGCAACCCCAGGTTCATGCTGAGTCCACAGAGTTGCAAACTAATTTTTTGGCTCTACAGGAGGAGCTGTAGAGTGCGCAGTTTGGGCAATTCATGCCTTAGAAGCGCAAGAAGATGATTTTGGGCAGTCCTTGACCATATGGCCAGACAAACCACAAAACATACACAGATTCCCATCGAAACAGCGCTTACACTCTTCCAGTGTTAGCTTGCCATTCTCACCAAGTTTTGAAGAGAGGTCCGGTTTGGCTGCGGGGCATCCTTCAGACTTCTTATGGTCTTTAGGAGGCTTCACAACCACAGCAGAGGTGGAGGCAGAGGGAGTAGAGGAAGGATGGAAGGAAGTACTTGCCGATTGAGACACAGCAGCCTTGTCGAAGGTAGTGGTGGAGGAGGGCGGAGGTCTAACATGTCGTCCAGCTTCAGCCTTACACTTCCAATATCACGCATCGAATGTCTGCACGAGTTTTCGGAGGGCAGAAAGTGAAGTAGGTTTGGTGACACGTGAGAAATTGTCCTTGAGATGCTCTGGCAGTCCATCGTAGAAGAACTGATGAAGTGCAGGCTTGCCATAACCATGCAACTGTGTAGCATATTGATTGAACTTGACAATGTACTTATTTATGTGATGTCCATCTTTCATACTCAACTGGAGGATCTCGTCTTCAGCGTTGCCCATTGGATCATGGGGGCCGAAGTTCTCCTTGAGCTCTAAGACAAACTCCTGAAAGTTATCCATCCACAAAGGTCGAGCGCCCTCAGGCAGCCCTTCCAGAAGGTCCGGTTTGAAACAATCAAGGGCCATCCCTGTCAAGAATGACTGTGTGTAAATAATCTTCGAGCAGTCACTCACAAAGGCCAGGGGGTGGTCCTGAAAGTTCAGTTCACACTGGACCAAGAAGGTGCAGAGTTTGCGGGGTTTGACCCCATCAAACTGGTTGGGTTCTCAAACCTTGGTTCTAAGGGAGGTGGACAGAGCAGGAGGTTGTACGGGAGCAGGGACCGGAACAGGGATCAGAGCGGGATGAGCAGTGGAGCAAGCAAGATAGGTGATCACTTGTGCTAACTGGGCGAGTACCGGAACAAGAACTTGCTCAACTTCATCGTTGTCACCAACAAGAATAGGAATAGGTGGTATAGGGAGGTGTCAGAGTCCATGTGTCAGTTCACATGTAAAGATCTCCCCAGGAAACTAGTTGTTGTTAAAGCTGGGGAGCCAACCCAGCTGGTGATAAGGCCTTATATACATGAGTTCCACAACTCATAAGAGCGCAGCTACATTGGGAATACATGGTAGCCGATAGAGAAGCGACATGAGATAGGAAGATAGATCATGTGAAAAAGGGGGCGATAACGGGTAAAGGGTGATGTGATAGCAGAAATAGTGCATTGAATACAACCTGCATTCTAACTACGGCAAATCACATGGAGATATTGGCTTATGGGTACTCAACCTATCCAGATAGGGGTCCGGGCCAGCCGGATAACCATCCGTGCCCTGACAGGAGGTTAAGGTCAACAAGAGGGATGGGTTCATGAGGAGCCAGCCCATCTTCATCAACAGCCTCGATGATGACAGCCAAATCATGCGTGCTACTGGAAACAACACAGTTGAAGTCAGAACCTATAAAAGAGTCGTATGTAGCTCGAGAGTGGGAGCATGAATGCCTAGGTCACAAACATAAAGAATGTGAACATGTTTGTGAACATCTTTCAGAGGAAACTGGTGCCTGCTCTCGGCATCACGTCCATAACTAATCCACAAGTCTGTGAATGTGTACAAATCACTCTAGACATAGTCAGCATTAAAGGAACATTATGAGTGCAAAATACTGTCAGAACATGGCTGGAGGGAACAAGTGTGTCTGGACCTTTCCCCGGAAGGGAGGCTGGAGGTAGAGGATGAGCGGAGGGACCATGGCCTCAGCAACTTGGAGAGGAGCGCTGTGCCAACATTTGGTAATGCTAGTGTTGGGTCCTTAACTTCAGAACAAGGGGGCACGAACTCAGGGGGAACTAGTCGTCGATTTTGCACTGAAGTGCCATCAACTACAGTACATGACTTATATACATAATACAAGACAAATAAGAACAAAGGGAAAACCCAAGATGGACTTACCCACTTGCCAGGTTGGCGAGCTCATGAGAGAATTGCCTTATCGAGCACTGTGGAGTGGGGTTGGTGGAGGTCCTAGGAGGTCCATAGTAATATTGGGTAAGTAGAAATATTAATAAACTTCTAAGATGAGGATAAGGGGTACCAGAGAAGGTGCTGGAGATTGGAGGTGGAGGTGGACTGGAGGTATACCGGAGGATATGGTGGAGGTGAGGGAGAGGACAAACCAGAGGTGAACCGGAACGGTGGCAGAGTAGATCAGAAGTTGGGTGGAGTTGGTATGGATATGACAACCAGGCCCTGGGCCTTGGGCCTCATGTGACTTCCGGATATTCCTGGAAGTTTTCATTATATTGTGGCCACTGTGGGAAGGTGAGAAGTTAGCTTCCTTCTCACCTTCTTACCCATAGCAGGCAAGTTGTATACTACTTGCCCTTTTTCTATACACCTTCTCACCCACAGCAGTGTGCCCTGGATAGGGCTGTTTCTACATAGGGTTGTGGGCCATAGGGGGGGGGGTCATGGGGACCTGTGAGTCATCCCCTGACATTCTGCTCTAAATGCAGTGAATAAGGAACTATACATGCAGTCTGTCATATCCCAGATCTTCCACCTCCCTCCACCCTAGTCCTAGACGACTCCTATGACCTCCACCAGCCTCCCAATCTCTCTCTGCTGCCTCCAGTTGATGCCAACAATCCTAGGACTACCTCCTCCTTCGACTCTCTCCCACTCTTCCTCCCATCTACGTCCACATCACCTCTGGAACTCCTACATTGTTTTGGTAAGTTACTAGAGTACTGACAAGCTGTTGGGAACCTCAGGACATACCTCAACTCTCACTCCTACCTCCAGACCTCCCCTACCACACCTCCACCTCCTTGGACCTCTTGTTCAAAGGATATGGATCTACTTGTTGTTGGTAACCCTCAACTTGCCTATCCACCCTCCTTCTTACTTCTGGTCTCCGCAGCTCCAGCACCTCCAGTCATGTACCTCCAGTACCTCCCCACTCCTACCTTACCTCTGGTCATGTTATTCTTTATTGTTTTATCATTTGATATTTTCTACAACCCCAATCTTCAGGACTACAACTTCCAGGCTCCAGACCTTTCCAGACATCTTCCCCTGTAGTCCCCTGCTCTTTCATAGATGGGCCCAGGCCTTACCATTCAGTTGGTTTCTAATTCTCCCACTCCACAAACTTCAGACGTAACTCAGGCTTTTTGCCTATTCTATATTTGTCCTGTGGAGTCTTTCTATTTACTTCTTCTTCCCCTTGGTAACCTTTGTTTACCTTCAGATCCAATTATCTCTGCTATATGTATGCATGTACCACTCTAGTAAATAGTTTCCCCCAGTTATAATATTAAGTCCTTGAATCCAAACCCTCTTCCATGATGTCTATCGCACTCTACTCACCTGCTGCTCCACCTTGAACCAAGAGCTGAGTGACAGACGCATCTAAAGGCGCCTTGGTATAAAACCCAACAAATCACATGACAAATGATTGACCCTTGCTAACACCTCCATTGTTAAGTAGTGAGGGGGGCTTTTTGTTACGGATACGGAGTCTCCAACGACCATATCCGTCGCATGGTCAAAGACTTCCCCTCTCTATCGCTCCTCCCCTCTTTCTCCTTTCCGTCCTCTATCCCGCTACCCTATCCTCCTTACCCGTTCTACCCCTTTCCCCCCCCTCGTGCAAAGCTTTCCCCATTGGGGTTTTGGTGCTGGCCAAGGTTGTTTGTGTTTCGCGGGATTTCCCGCGACCTTACCATTTGTAGATAGTCACGCGTCATGTACGGAAACCGCCGAAGGCGGTTCCCGCTAACTAACAACTGCTCTACAACTGTCTCGTGTACCGTCTTCTGTAACAACCCTCCCTGTGACTCAACTGAACCTGTGTGACTGTACAACTCTCAATATGTCTTATAAGTCTGGTTATATCGAGTCCTCTAACGGCCCTCGCCGCGAGAACTCGAAGTCGAGAGTCGAAGACTCTCGACGTGTGTATCGTCCTATTGAACCTGTACCCTATGGGTCTTCATCACTCCGCTCTCCCCCCAGTACTCAACATACGACGTCCCATCACGATCATGGTGATCGTGAACACTATGAGGCCCACTTACCCTCGATGTCGGCACGTTCGCTACGCGAACGCCAAGTAGCCGCCCATCCACCGTCTGTTTCTTCCTTTGCCAGTCATCATATGTCCCCGCCAACGGTACGTTCCCTTTGGGAACGCCAAGTCACCGAAGGCCCTAATAGTCAGCCCTCATTGCACGCCTACGATATCAACCCGCTACCGGTACGTTCGCACTGCGAACGCCAAGTACCCGATGGCAACTACGCGAAGCTCTCACCCATCTCACCAGTCACGACCTTGCACACAGTACGCTCCATTGAGGAGCGCCAAGTATCCGTGGCTGACCCATCTGTCCTGATATCTCCGACTATCAATCATCAATCCCTTAATAGCTCACTACATCACCCATCGCGATCGATGGGAATTCGATCGCCCACTCCCAGGTCAGACTGGGATCACTCATCGATTACACTTCCAGTTATGGTACAAACTAGACATGACTCTCGTCTTCCCACTATAAGAACGGATCGAGGAATGGGGAATTTCCCCCATCCCCGTAACACTTCTGGCCCCCTTCTGCTGGTGGCCTCAGTTCCTCCATTGCCAGCCCCCCTGACAAATTGGGGACAATGAGGACGTAACGGGTGCAGCACTCCATTCTGAGTTGCTGAAGCTGAGTCCCTTCAACACCCCATCACCCTCGGAGCTCCACCCCACCTCCGGCCTGTCTCTGACCCACCATCGGATGACCCAGAACTGTTGTGGTCAGACCATCTGCTCCTAGAGAACAGGCCTATGGCTACCGGCCATATGGTGTAGTGGTTAACACCTCCAAATATATGTTGGATGGTCCTAGGTTCGAATCCTGGTGTGGCCTCTTTTTCAGACTACAATAAGAACACCAAGCTCCATCAGACACACCTGCCTGGGTAGTGTTTCAGATCTTCCCTGGGTGGGTTTGTGACACAGTCATGAGGACTGTGGTCACATGCAGGTCATGTGTGCTTGCTGGTGAGTCACAGGTCATTGCCAAATATCTGATGTGGGAAATGTCACGGAAATTGCATTATCCCCTGTCAGGGCACACCTGCCTGACCCTGCTCTGTCTGGTCCAGCCCCACCTGATCCCACTGTCCTCCACCCTTCCCTCTCCTTCTTCCTCCCCTCCCCCCTTTCTTCTCTTTCCCTTCTTTCTTCTTTCTTCTTTTCTTTCCTATTACATATTACACAGACAACTTTCCTCATATCAATGTACCATTGACCCAGCCACAGTGCAACATGCCTGGATCCAGGCACACCAAGCAACTTCCCACACACTGGATGCTCCTAGGATCTCTTGCAGAGATACCCGGACAGGTGTGGCTGTGTGCATAGATGATGTGGCTTCTCCCATGTGGCCTCAGCCACATGTATATAAACATAGCCTAAGTGGGAACTGGGAAGTAGCCTTCTTCTCACACTTCCCACTTCAGGCAAGTAGCTTACCTTCTTTTCTGTTAATAACAATTCACACTTCCCACTTCAGCTTAAGTGGCCAGGGATGCTTGTCTGCACCGGGCCCATTGCTATGCATGCCCACATCACACCCTACTGGGCCCTCAGCGCTGGGTGATACACCCAGGTGCTCTTGACCCCAGGTGTCAGGGATCAGCCCTTGACCCCACTGTCAGGGCACCCAACCACACAACCCCAGAACCACCCTCCCTGACTTCCCCCACTTCCCTGACCTCCCCATCTTTACATATCTCTCACAACTACAGCCTGCATGTGAACCCACAGGAAAAATCATGTGGGTCAAGGCAAGCAACTCGCCTTAACCCATGTGACACCTTTTCCGAGTTGCAGGAACATGCTCAGCTTCTACCCATAGTCACGTTATGAACTGTACAGTACATTTCCCTTTTATAGCAGCCAAGTGGGGAATAGGGAAACTTACCCTTCTTCTCAACTCAATCCCCACTTAGTCCCTTCAGTGAGTTTGAGGAGCTGAGGACAGGGTCTAGCACCCAGGCACCCAGAACATTGCACACACCTAGCCCTGAGGCTGGGCTGTCCTTGACTGAGGACCAAGCCCTGACACAGGTCAGTCCCTGACATCTGTTGGAAATGCAACAATCTGTCATATCCATCCATGGCCATCACCCTCCACTACCTCCGGCCCTTCCGGATTTCCTCCACTCCTTCATCACTAACCTCAGAGCCTCTGGATTCCACAATCACCTCTGACTCCCCCAATGGTCACCACCCCTTCAATTCAATATATTGTTGGAATTTGTACACGTGGTCTTGGGAACCTTAATGCTAAAATATGGACATTCTGGGAGTCGAACTGCAGAACCCTGCATAGGTACCAAGAGTGTTACCATTACACTAAATGCCCACATTAGGCAGAGGTGGTTTCTAACATATATTACCTACGCCTCCCTAAGTACGGAGCCCTGAAGGCCTCTGGACAGCTCTGATGTCCACTAGTGCACTCCCACCTCCACTGGGCAATTTAGTTGCTTGCCCTGCAAGCCTACCTTCAGGCCAATCCCTCCTTTCCGCTTGTGGGTTATAGCCCATCACTCTGCTAAACCCGTAACCCGACTCATCAGTAATATTCAGTCAGCTAACATGTAACTCTGTTAGCTCTGCTCCACTCGGTCCCACTGTTCATGGGCCCGCCCCCTATGTAACTATATATACATAACTTGTAGATAGGTTACACCCTAGTGATAAAATTGACTAGAGTTATCCCCCTTCTAGTTCTCATTGCCAGTTAGTAAATTAGGGCATGGACGTGTAAACTGGGCACAGTGCTCCTGGTCTAAGTCGCTGAGGCCAAAGCCTTCCACCATGGGGATGTCTCCCTCATCCCGCATCCGGTCTCTGACACAATCGGCCCCATCATCCAGCTGTCAATAATGTGATTATTGACAGCAGTGACTACCTGAGACAGTTCTAATATCGTCGCAATTATTGGATGATATTTGGGGGTTCAACCCTCATTCTCTCTGTTATACCGTGTATAAAGAGAGCAAAATTATTTACTACTCCCCCTCCCTCGGATCCCTTATATGGGTCTGAGGTGAGGATTTCTTTACTATTTCTAAGTATGCATGATAAATTGTTTTTGGCATTTTTGATATATTTATACACCCTGAAACACTCTGAATATGTTTTTAACAATTTTAACAATTGTGTCATGAATACCTCCCACTGCATCGAAATTGTCATAAACCTGTCACATCTAACAATCACAACGTCTGCCTTCTCATTGACTGTTGGGCCGTTGGTAAAAAAAATGCCAAAAACAATTTATCACATAGGAGATTTTACCCGTAATCACATGATCACCGACTCGTCAGCCCTGGCGCTTAAATCAACCGATCTCCATCCTTGACTTTACGATTCCCCTGTTGCGAAAGGTTTCCACTGGCGATCGCCAGTCTAAACCTTTGGCCGATGAATACATCTTTGGACCCCCCAATATATGCGTGGATCCTCACCCTTAACCGACTGCCCACAATAGAGGTCAGCAGACGATAGTGTGGGATAGTCGGCCGTGTTCATTGTAGCGACGGTTTCTAGGAGTACAATATCTGTTTCCAATGTCTTGACAAGGATTCTCAAACCAAAGTTACCAATATTCTAGCTCGGAGTGGGGATCAGTATGCTGCTTGGTGTAGGTGTATTTCTCGTGAGGTTTATGCGATCTTTGCTCAGGTACCTCCTCCATGAGCTTGCCTTTGTGGGAGACTTCTTCCGCATATTGTTATGAACCAAAGAGAAATCCCAATCAGCGCATGGCGTATCGTCGGAAATGAAGATGGCAGCAAACCCTCTATCGTAAGCAACCTTTGCTGTGCGACTTGATGTCTCCTCTCAACTATGAGACAGCTGTGTCCGGCCTACGAAAAGAAGTTGGGGTATAATATTTCCCACGACGGACTGCTAGTTGCAATGGCATTTGCGCTAGGTCCAGCAGCTGCTGTCGCTAATGTTGGCTGCGATGTTCGCCGGATACACCTTCCTTCCAGCATCTCGACTTCCGTCTTCGTTGAATCGTTATCGCACAAGGTATTTCTTTGGGCATCATCATCATCACGTCCGATCCATTCTGAATGATATCTGGAGATCACACCGCTAGAACGGTCATTCTTGTCCACTGACTTGGGTGATGAAGTGATAATGAGGCGGATCTTCATCCTCTGGACTTTGAAAGAAGCTTACTTAAAGGCCATCGGACAACCACTCCGACTTGGGTTTGATTGGAACCGCATCGAGTGCGATATACCCAATGAAACTATAACTGTGGACGGTCGCATACTCTGCGGATGGGAGTTTCGACTCTTCAAGGCAAACGTTAACGTGCACCCTCGAAAGGATCCACGGAGCGAGCAGGTATATCAAGTGACGGCGGCGATATATCGAGGGGGCGAATCAACCTCGTTTGTGTGGAATCAAGAGCTAAAGTTGGATCCATGGTTGAGATTTCTAACTGTTGACTCCGTTATGGACGCAGTCTGGGATTTACAATATCCTCACATAACTTCATTCCTCAAGCTCAAGTTGGATCAACAAAGATAAGCTGTCCTATCCCTCCTATCCCTCATAGCCATAGAGCCTACTTCAATGAGCTACGCATTAATGCAGTCGCACATCAATATCGAGTTTGCACTAGATAGATTTGTACAATGTGCTTGCCAAAAGAAGCGAAAAAACACACACACACACACACACAATGTTACAACCTGCTCTCGAGGAAGCCGGGACGCAGGGAATCCCTCCAAGAGAGGACCCCAGGACCGAAGGCAGCGTCTAGCGCCTCCCGAACAGTGTTTACAAAAACAATATTCATCTGGCGACGGAGAGGGTGATTGCCTAAGTCGTGCTCCACATTCTTTCTATTCTTCGCCGGAAGGATTACGGTAGAGATCCCCGCTCGATGCGCGCCAAGCAATTTCTCCTTGACGCCACCAATTGCGGTGATGTGACCACGCAGTGTGATTTCACCCGTCATGGCGACATTTGAGGGGACCACAGCTCCGGTGAAGAGGGAAACGAAGGCACAGACTGGTTCATTTCGAGGGCGGTCAGTCAAGATTTGGAGTAGATTGAGACAATTTACCCATAGCAATCCCAGCGGAAGGACCATCTTTTTTCTGTGCACCAGCGGGGAGGTGTAAATGAACGTCCACATGGTCAGGATGCAGCAAAGGATCTTCCATCGAGGAAGACGTAATTCCAAGTAAGAATGCGTTCGACTTGACCTTGGTCAGGTACAAAGCTCAGTCAAAGTACTCTAGATGATAAGTAGTCTTACCCAACTAAGCGCAATTTCTCCACTCTCCCGGATCACTTCGCCAAGCGAACCTGTCAGACGCAGTTTTCCGCTACCTGGGATAAGGATAGTTTCGACATTAAGAATACCTCCTTCACCCTCGCCTTGAACGACCATTCCATTAACGATTCCCTTTCTTCCCTCTCGCTCCCGCTCTTCAGGGTCCCACCATTCAAGCCCAAGGATTTCCCCCAAGTCTTGAACGTCTACAACAGGATTATAGGTAGATTGGTTGCTTGTGTCATGAGAATCAGCCCACTGCACTGCTTTAAAGCGAACGACGGCGCCAATTTGACGCTCAAGATTCCGCACCCCCGCTTCCCGTGTATAACGCGACGCAATGTATTGCATGGCGGAGTCGGTAATTTTAAGTTGATCCATTGGCAATCCATTTGCCTTCGCCTGTTTTGAGACGAGGAAACGCTTACTACACAATAGCCAAGTTAGTGATATCGGGAGCAGGCGCGGAGATACTCACGCAATGTGTATCTTTTCGTCATACGTGTAGCCTTCAAGTTGGGAAACATGTACTGCGTCAAACGCCTATTTTAGCTCACGGTATTCCCCGGGCATACCTGACAGATACACAACCTCGCATCGATCCCTGAGAGGCCCGCTAATTGTATCCAGAGTGTTTGCGGTTGCAATGAACAAAACTTGACTCAAATCAACCGGAACATTGATATAATGGTCATTGAATGCGTGGTTTTGCTCGGGATCCAGCACCTCCAGAAGGGCAGCCGACGGGTCACCATGGAAGTTATTATGTCCAACCTTGAACCTCGTAAGCCCCCGCACCGTGCGTCATAAGGGAATTACCTTGTCAATCTCATCCCTGTAACAAAACACATGAGAAGGGGTGGTCATTCTGGGAAAACGACATACAAGAGAAGAACCATATTTGGCCTGCCAGCCCTTCGGAGGGTTTGAACAACTGCTCCTGGACCGCTTGCAACGTACGTGCGCCTGTGACCTCTGATTTCAGCTTCGTCACGTATACCTCCCAGCGATATCCTCTGGAATGGTCTGTCCAAGGCCTTCGCGACTGACTGTGCAACGGATGTCTTTCCGCACCCTGGGGGCCCCACTAATCTATGCGTGCACGGATGTGGGCAGAGGATGGGGAGGTGAGCATTTCACTTACAGGAGTATTGGGCCCTTGCTCGTGGTTGGGGCTTTCTTCGTGGGTACCGGCGTCAATGAAGTGGCATTAAGACCAAGGGCATTTGAGGCAGGCGGGATCTCCGCTGCTCGGACTTCGTTCAGTGATTTCAAACGTACAACTGAGACCTAATCAGCATCATCCGTTCATCATAAGAGGCACCATCGGGACCCAACCTGCTAGATATTCAATCAATCGTCGTTTAATTTTTTCTAATCCATAATGATCCTCGTCAAGTTGCCGCCTCGCTCTGTCAAGGAATGATTTGTCAAGAACGACAGACTGCGCTGCCCAATATCGGTCCTGGGCGATTGTTCCGGGCCATGGTAAGGATGTGAGCCACTCCAGCTATCGAGGGAACGTAAGATCTGCTAATGATGTGTGATGGGCAGCGCAGGGCCTACATAGTTGCGTATGACTCCGTTCTCCACACTACCGGAGGGTATCCGCTTGAGTCGCTTGTATTCTCTTACAGCCATCTTCCTCTCCTCACTACCCGGATTCATCGCTTCAATTTGCTTCTTCATGTCACTCAAGTCGTCGCCCTCATCGTTATCGTCGTCGAGCTCCGAACCGGTAGTTGGAGAATCACTCTCACTTATCTTCTTCCGGCTTACTGATGATGGTGAATTATTCCGTGTCAATCTTGCCAGCTCGCGCTGGATCGCTTGCAGCTGTTGACGTCTAAGTAAACCTAAGCCTCAGTGATAAGGTGGAGAGCACTAAAACGAAGGGGGCTTACAAGAAAAATTCCTTCTGCTGCTTCGAGACGGATTCGCTAACATCCTGCGAAATCTTGGTGGCGACTTCCGATATGTCTGCACGCTTGTTGAAAATTTCCACCGCTTTCTGGATGCGTTGGTTAACTGTTGCAGCAGACAAGAAAGCTAGACAGGGTAAATTAGAATTAGCGAGCGTCCACGCCGTAGCGAAGCCAACCATACCTAATTTATCCTCCCATTCGGCACTGACAACACCGATCATCATGTCAGCAAGCCAAACCAAACCATTTGGTTTTGCTTCAGAAATCAAAGAACGAAGGGTCCGCCATACTTCGGGACTGCCTCGGCCGTTTAGAGGCGGAGAGTTACCAGCGATGGTCTCGAACTCCATTCGTTCGATAATTCTGTTCGCAGCCGATCGGAAAGAATGGTCTAACTCTGGTGATGGCAAGTCGTCATTGTCTTCAGGAGATGGATATACCACGGAGTATTCTGGAAGATGGTCAGGGGACTCATCGACGATCGGTGAGACCTTCGCGAGACGAATACGAGTAAGGCCCTGGAGGGTAACGGAATAGTGTGACGATCTAGAGTTTAGGGACAGCCCCGAAGGGCGAGAAAGCCTTAATAGACGGGCGGCTTTCAGTGAGCAAAAAGCATCCATTAACGGGGAGGACAGCTTTGTTGAACAATTGGACGATGCTCACCGCAACCCCACTCATGGATGGGAGCATCGTTGCCAAGGAATGGGAAGACACCAAGTATGGGGTAGTCAGATTGTTGGACGAGCTTAACAAGCGGGCGGAGTATGTCATCTGTGATAGGCACTGTGACTGTGAGCGCGGGGAGAACTACAGCGGGGCTCGGCAGGAAGAGCACTGGAAGAGTTGGGGGCCTCGGATGCTCGAAGTGGCTGGGGGTCATTGTAAAGAGGCGAACAACACTATTGGAGTGTTAGATGGGAGGTGTTGGCAGCAAACTCGCACAGCGTCGATTGGAAATGTGATCTTATGCGGCGGAGGCTGGTAACCTGCCTAGCTTACAAATGTCCGGTCAGATTCTCACGTGGGCCAGTTTCATTCCAGTTTAATATCCTATTTCACGGGACTAATCGGGGCCGGGCACGTGCGACCTGGAGCAGTCCGTCTCGTTCTGCACTGCCGCAGTGCTGATGGATCGTGATGGGTGACCAACTGCCCGGGTCCTAACTTGCCTCTAGCATGGCTGAGGTTAAGTTGCTGAGGAAGGGGGAGGTTTGCTCCTTTCCCCCACCTGCTCGCTTGCCTTCGCGCTTGTGCTCGGAGTTACTGGTATGTTTCCCCCAGTGCAGCAGGGCTTGTAACTCACGCTCGCTTGCCAGTACCCCCTCTGGTTATTGCGTAGTAATTGCTTTTCCGCTTCCTTCTTACTGTTCTCTGTAAGCATATCTTTCTCCCTTGTTTTCGTTATCGTGACTGCTTGCTGTCAGCTCTTGCTCCAACCTCGCTTGCGCTGCTCTCTCTTCTGCCTACCCTCCACCTTCCCCAACTCCACCTTTGTGACTGGTACTATTATCTCGTTATCATCTTATTGTACCGGCTCGCCCTTGGCCGTTGTATTTCTTTTTCTTTTCTTGCAATCCCATTTTGCGCTGGCCCGTGTCCACTAAGTTGGTCGGAACCGATTAGCCGGGTATGATGATGAAGCACGGGTATAATATTATGTAATGCAATACAATACAAGGGCTTCGGCCAACTCCGCTACAATACAGTCAAGGACCTGATCAACAAGTCATTTAAATTTAATGGAGGCATGAGATTAAATATGACTTGTGTGCGCCGGCCTCAGTGCCTCAGTTTTCTTCTGGGTATCCGCCGTGCCCCCTTGCTAGGTCAAGTCCTCGTCTGTACGCAATTTTCATTGCTTTATGCCTTTAGACTGTTCATCCGCGATGTTCAGTTTTTCTCAGTTGTCTGGTATGCAATTGTGTCCATGTTTCTGATACTCTGCTGCTTGATCGGTACGTCGGTGGATTTTCTTTCTCTTTACACACGTCCGCTGTACGCTTCGGCCTCCATGCCTTCTTTCCTTTATGCGCGCCCGCTGAGCGCTTTGGCCTCCGTGCCTTCTCTTCTGCCTCCGCGGTATGCTTTGGCTTCTCAGCCACCACCTCTCGCGTCCGCTGCATGCTGTTGTTCTACAGTCTTTTACCTCCTCTTGCGTCTGCGCACGCTGGAGTTTATTTCCTTTTTCTATGACTCTGACGTATTTTTCTGACTAATTCTCTTATTAGTTCTGGTTAGGGTGGTTGGTTGGTGTTGAATATTCGGTCTTGCATTGGATAAGGCAGTTAGCCTTGGTTACCCTTTGCAAGTTGGATCCCGGATGTTTACGGTGTCTTTCATTTTTCAGCTCATGCCTTGTTTCTTGTAACTTCACTTCTTCTCTTTTGTTGGCACTTCTTGCTGCTACTCTCTGTCTGTCTTCATCGTTATATCTATCGAATCAGCCTATTCTCTCGTCCTTCGTCCAAACAAAGAAGGTTTATGCCTGACGGGGAGGAAGAGTCGATTTTACCCCAGGTTACGGCAGGAGGAACGAGCGGAACTTCTGAGACACTGGGAACGAGTTCGTCCTCAGTAAAGGCGTCAACAGGAATCGAGAGGAGAAATCCACCCAAGTCCGACTTTGATAAGGGCCCGAAGGACATCCTTGAGGACATCGTGCGAGACGCAGAATCCACTGGGGACTACAATCACGCGAGAAAGGAGGCCCTTGACCTTATTGAAGTTTACGATTTACAAAAGCATCGCGAGCATATTTTCTCATTGATTGACAGGTTTGAGCAAGGGAAAGGAGATACTACCGTAGTTACCCTTGAATCAAAAGGTAAAGGTAGTGACCCACAAGAACGTCGAAAGCGACAACGAGAATCAAGCGACGAAGAAGATGGATGGAGTCGGAGAGCAAAACGAGTCAAAGGAATCCTCAGGGATGCTGACAAGCGAGAAAGCGACTCAGAGGAAACCCATTCAAGAGGAAGTAGCTCGAGCAGTGATGGGAAGAAACACGTTAGTTTTGCGGGATCGAGTAGGGGAACAAAGCACGAGCACTTTAAAAACATATGCCTTGCCACCAAGACGAATATTGTTCGGAAATATTACTTGGAGAGGCAGAAGAGAGCACTCAGAGACCTCAAAGGCGAGTTGCATAAGCCCCCTCTACCCGACTCACTCTGGGAAGCAGTTCTCCTCAACAAATTCGTGGATTTCAACAAACTCTATGCCATCGAGTTGGGGCAGGCCTTGGATGAAGAGGTGGTCCATGAATCCAGTCGCTTCAAATTCATCTTTAATCAAGTTGAAGTGAAAGGAACAATCTGAGGAGAAGCTACCTGGACAAGGGCCTTTGAAGCCTACTCCGAAGCAGTACTCTTCATATACCCACACAGGAAGGGAGAACTTGAGGGGTACAAGCGTTACATGCGACGACTCTTTACCTCGGCAGGATTCTATAAGGAGCGCGGAGTCATTGAGTTCGATGTCAGGTTCCGAAAAGATCTCGCAGCAGATGCTAGACTTACCTTTGATGACGTCGAAACTAACCACCCATTCCTCTTCGGCTCTTTTGCAGGGAGCAGTGGATCACAACGACCTAACCCTAGTGGGAGAGGGAGGTTTGATTCAGAGATCTGTCGACGCTTCAATGCGGGAACCCCTCATACCAACTGCCGATACAAGCACGTATGTGACCAGTGCCAAGGAGAACATCGGCGTATCAACTGTCAACAAAAGGAAGGGAAGAAGTCTGGAAAGGATCAGTGATTGGAGAAGATCGATCAGAGAGCCACGCTATCTGCGAGGATTTGTGTGGGGCAACGAAAAATCGGGCACACCTTCGGTAACGTCTACTGTCTTCAGAGAACCTTTACCCATAACCCCGAATACCGACTATGACCATGAGTTGGTTACCGAAACTGTCGCCCATAATGCTCATCTCTTTAAAATAGTGACACCTATCCGTTCTGATAAGCTTGAGGAACTCTTGATCAATCACCCTAATCGAGCCCTGGTGGAGTCTGTGCTGAAAGGTTTTTGCGAGGGTTCCTGGCCGGGAGCGCACCCCGAACGTTTGGTCTCACTTCGAGAAGGTTATGATAATCGCTGAGGGAAGGATGAGATGGATGAGGAGAAGCGGGAATTCTTGAAGTCGCAGCGAGATGTGGAGATTTCTTTGGACCGATATTCTATTGCCTTTGGGCCGACCTTACTCCCCGGAATGGTGTCGCAACCGTGCTTCGCAGTCCCGAAGTCCGGGTCATCGAAATTCCGTTTAGTCAACGATCATACGGCTGGAGACTCATCCTTGAATGCGGCAATACCTCCGGAGGAAGGGTCGTTCAAGCTAGACAATTTACATGATTTAGGGAACCTCCTACTTTCTTTTTTGGAAAAGCATGGTCGTTCACCCGCTTGGCTCTTTAAAACTGATGCGAGTTCAGCCTTCAGATTGCTTCCTTGTCACCCGAGATGGCAGGCTCGACAAGCGACGATGATTGATGGTCAATACCACATTGATCGTTGTTGCGTCTTCGGGAACCGGGCTTCAGGTGCGATCTGGAGTACTTTTTATGCGTTGGTCCTATGGATTGGCATCAAAGAAAGAAACTTACCTGGACTCTTGCATTATGTGGACGACGTGTTTTCTTTTGAGCCCTGTGAGGATTTGGAACTTTATGTTCCGTATGGTTCAACCTACCCGCACAAACAAGTGGAATTACTCAGGTTATTTGATGAGGTAGGAATCCCACACGAAAAGAAAAAGCAAGAATTTGGCCAGCAACTCACGATAATTGGTCTCCGAGTGTGCCTTGATACGTTAACAATCGTCATGCCGAACGAAAAAAGAGAGAACTTGATTGTTGAAATCAAAACCTTTCTTGAACATTCTTCCCGCCGACATCCTCTTCGAGATTGGCAACGCCTCCTAGGCTACTGCAATTGGGCGCTGAATGCTTATCCACTCTTACGACCAGCACTTCAATCTTCGTATGCCAAAATTCGAGGGAAGAATCTTCCATTAGCGCCAATTCGTTTGAACAAGTCAGTCATACAAGACTTAACTTGGTTCACAGAGCACATCCAGGTTTCGGCGGGTGTTAACTTCTTGCGAGCCAGGACTTGGAAGGAGCACGAGGCAGACTTGACCTTTTTGACAGACATGTCTAATGTAGGATTGGCTTTCTGGTCTCCGGACATCAGGATTGCAATGGTGGCAACAATTTCGGAGTCTAGCTTACGTTTTGGAGACATGCTTTTCAACGAAGCATTGGCGGTTGTCTCGGCAATTGATTGGGCTGCGCAGTTACCGGATAGACCTCGTCGCATTTTACTTTGAACTGATTCGATGAACACGGTCGATATCTTCCATTCACTAGCCGCCGAACCTAATTACGTTCTACTCCTCCTCCATGTGGTTGAAACAATGATGGATTTCGACATTGATGTTCAAGTTATTCATATCCCTGGCTCCGAAAATACCGTCGCAGATGCGTTGTCACGTCACCTTTTCGACTCGGCCCTTATTCACTGTCCAGGGCTGAAAATTTATTCCTTTAGGCCTCCACGGGATATGTTGGGGGTGATATGGGAATGAATGTTTCAGTAAGCGCCAAGGCACGTCAGCCCAAACATGCCCCTTGGACATTGGATCGTTTGCATCGTCAGCGAGCGATTTATTTGTCTAATGCTCTTGACAAGTCAACAAAATCTGCCTATCAATCAGGGATTAATTCATATCTTACCTTCTGCCAAATCCATCATTACGACCCCAAGCCAACTCCTAATATGCTTAGTTTGTTTATCTCTTTTATGGCGAAACAGACAGGACCATCAGGAAAACTGATTTCAATCCGCACGATTACCTCTTACCTGTCAGGCCTTGCTCACCACTTGGAGCCTTGTTATCCTTCGGTTCGAGAGGCCTGCAAGCACCCAATGGTAGTTAACACGTTGCGTGGAGCAGAGCGGACTGACGGCCAGCCAATCGTCCGGAAGTTGCCGATTGAAGATGCGCACTTACTCTTGTTGCTGAAAGAGTTCGGTGCTTCTCAAGACTTTGATGACTGCCTTTTCCTCGCCATTGCTTTTACAGCCTTTCACGGTTTGTTGCAATTAGGTGAATTGGTTGTGCCGGATGACCCCTCAAAACTGGTGTTCAGGAAGTTGGTTCTTCATCGGTCAGTCGACATAGTTGTGCGCGATTCCTTACGCTGCTTCCAATTCCTGTTACCCACTCACAAAGTGGATCGCCGGTTTCATGGTAGTCCTATTTTGATTCAGTCCAGGTCTGGTCCACTTGATCCTGTTCTGATTTTTGAACGTTACCTTCAACTGCGAGATGATGCCTTCTCCTTCTTTCCCCAGCTTTGGGTCCGAGGTGATGGATCCTTACCCTCCCGTTCTTGGTTTTTGCAAAGATTGCGTACTTGTCTTCCGAAAGAATTTGCCGGTCATTCTTTTCGCTCTGGAGGGGCTACCCATCTTGCCGCTCTTGGTTTTTCAGATTCGAGGATTCAAGCTTTAGGTCGTTGGTCTTCTGATGCTTGGCGGATTTATATTCGTAAGAACCCTGTAATTCTTTGTGCCCGTACCCCTGTGGGGTCTTCAATTTTTGATTCCTAGCTCCCTCCTTTTATTTTTCACCACCATCCCTCCCCTCCTCCTTCTTCTTCTACCATGTTACCGGCTCGCTTCAAATCAAGAGGCTTCGACATCTTGTCGGGGCCGTCGCCACGCTATCCGTTGCACCTTCGCCCACGCACAAGTTTAAATTTAATGGAGGCACGAGATTAAATATGACTTGTGTGCGCCAGCCTCAGCGCCTCAGTTTTCTTCTGGGTATCCGCCGTGCCCCCTTGCTAGGTCAAGTCCTCGTCTGTACGCAATTTTCATTGCTTTATGCCTTTAGACTGTTCATCCGCGATGTTCAGTTTTTCTCAGTTGTCTGGTATGCAATTGTGTCCATGTTTCTGATACTCTGCTGCTTGATCGGTACGTCGGTGGATTTTCTTTCTCTTTACACGCGTCCGCTGTACGCTTCGGCCTCCATGCCTTCTTTCCTTTATGCACGCCCGCTGAGCGCTTCGGCCTCCGTGCCTTCTCTTCTGCATCCGCGGTACGCTTTGGCTTCTCAGCCACCACCTCTCGCGTCCGCTGCATGCTGTTGTTCTACAGTCTTTTACCTCCTCTTGCGTCTGCGCACGCTGGAGTTTATTTCCTTTTTCTATGACTCTGACGTATTTTTCTGACTAATTCTCTTATTAGTTCTGGTTAGGGTGGTTGGTTGGTGTTGAATATTCGGTCTTGCATTGGATAAGGCAGTTAGCCTTGGTTACCCTTTGCAAGTTGGATCCCGGATGTTTACGGTGTCTTTCATTTTTCGGCTCATGCCTTGTTTCTTGTAACTTCACTTCTTCTCTTTTGTTGGCGCTTCTTGCTGCTACTCTCTGTCTGTCTTCATCGTTACCCTCCACCTGCCCCATCACCTCCTTTTTTTGGGGGGGGATTTTTGTATCTACCGGCTCGCTTCAAATCAAGAGGCTTCAACATCTTGTCAGGGTCGTCGCCATGCTATCCGTTGCGCCTTCGCCCACGCACAAGTCCTCGTTGAGTGAACCTACAAAACCCCTCTGAGATGAGCGCAAAAAATCACGTGTTTGATGAATTTACACAAATATGAAAATGATGATATCTTTTTTGAATCCGCCAATTACAATGAAGGAAATGAATAGGATGCAAGCGTGAAGACGCACGGGCAGGGGCCCGGGCGCCTTCATAACTGTGGGGCATTTAACGGAAGGGAACAGAAAGTTGTATGCAGTAAGAAAAAAATAGTGGATGAAGGGGGGCGAGGGAATTGTGAGGCCAGTTTAACTGTACATATATATGGTTTGGTTGAGGCCCCCAGCCATGGTGGGTTGGCTTAGTGGCCGGTGCCGGATTCTCTTCAATCCCGTCTCTGGATGGGTCTTGGTTCGAGTCCTGAATGGTGTTTCTTTTTTTTCTCCCTTAGAAAACTTTTAAGATGAAAAACTTCAATTCCAAGGGGTGATCAATGTCATGAAAAATGTACATTGGGCGGCTTTTGACTTCGTGATCAACCCCGGGTCCGTGGCTGAAATTAACACTTTATATATTACTTTTAGGACCGGATCCATGTAAGGTCTACTTGGTCTAGTGGATTATAGCGCTGTTTATGAGCCTGTCTCCCCCCTGCTTGTGCAGGTTCGATTCATTCTTGGTGGATTTTTTTTTGCCACAGTTATTGCACGAGGATGACTTCAATGTATATATAACACCGATAAGCAATGCTACACTAACTGCACTAAACAAACCCTATTCCGAGCACGTTCTACAATACACAAGCGCTGTAATGGTAATTAATAATTTTAGTTTGGTAATTGGGTTGGGTTGGGGAATAACAGGGAGGGGACAATGAGACCGCACGCAATGAATATTTATTACATAATAACGTCACATGTAGGCAATGGTTGTTGGCTGGTTTCTAAATCAATTCCCATCATTTTTTGTTCGGCCATCATCACGTGTATATTTCCTTTTGCGCTCATCTCAGAGGGGTTTTGTAGGTTTTCTTCCTCGTTGGCTCGGAGACAAATGGAGAAGAGAACGGAAGAAGAAAAGAAAACAGCCTCCGATAAATGAATGACACGTGCCAGGAGGTAGGACGTGGGAAATGTAAAGGACTATGAGAAGATCATGGACCTCGACAAATGGGGATGGGTTCTGGCATCGCGAGCCCTCCTAGATGCAGGGGAACGAGACGAATGTCATGCACACAAGAAAATATTAGAATAAAGACTATGTCGCATTAGACTCAGACTCGAATAAGAGTTCTGTATTGTAAATACCTATGTCGCGTTAGTTATCCAAGAGTTATAAGGTAAAATACTGAGAAATAGTTCTCACCTCAGACTCGAATAAGAGTTCTGAGGGAGAAAAGTCTAAGAATTCCTCCCTTATATACGCGACATTCCTGAGTGGCAACGTCGTCGTACAAAGGGAGTTTCAAGTTGAATAAGAAAGGGCAAAACGCCCCCAACGCCTCATAGCGCCCCAGAATAACCGCTACGAATAACCGCCACACAACTTCCCGATGTAAACAAAGTTGGTGTTCTAATAGAAAAAATGTCAACCATAATGCAACCACGCATGACCCAAAACATTCCATCGAAAATAGTCATCATCCAGCCGCGAGCACGTGGCCACATCCGAGCACAGTTCCAACCCCAAAGACCCGCAACACCAATCCGAGTTCTTTACTGCCTCGACCAATTATGCGTGTTCGTTCTCTGGTCACCCCTCTGCTATTTTCAACTCTCTTCTCAATTGCCTCCGCCCAAACCCCATGTATGCCTAACGTTTGTGCTCTGAACGCCCTCGGTTGCTGACTTGCTTTCAGCATATTTTATGATTACCTCTCCAGCACTTAATGACACATGGACCGCCAAGGGTCTCAACGTCGTCAAATGGGTAGTCGGTGTTGACCAAGGCATTAACGCATTCGATATCGAGCTGTTGCGTTTGAGCACAGACGGAATACTCCCAATAGCAAGACAAGGTGAGCTGTAGTCTCTTCCACATATGTGCAGCGCATTAATTCCCCTCCAAGTCCCAACTACTTGGTCTGCGTTGAACATTGATCTTGAGGGTGTACCTACAGGGTTAGCCGTGTGTTATAATCCTCCTTGGCCTCCTCTAACCATCGTTCCTAAGGGATGATTATTTCGCAGTGTTCCTGAATTATGACAGCAGTACTGTGTACTCTGTGTCACCTCGGTTTCAGATCAAGGACAATGCTGGTTCAACAAGCAATGCTGCGGCTGGGCCCACTGTCACAGTGAGCGGGAGCCCTGGTCCAACCAAGGCATTTGCACAGACGTTTGCACCATCAATGGCACGAATGACCCGACAACCTCTTCCGTGGCTTGGCGTCACCCTTTCTCTACTGATTGCGTTTTTGTTTGGTTTTGAGGTAGTTCACTAGTGCCAGGTTGATAGCTAATCTACGACTATACATACTCTTTTGTATGCGTTTGCAATCTTCCGACTCAGAATCTGTATCTCCGACACCCACAGGCGACAGTGTACGCTCAGGCAAGTTTGCTGAATAGTTTTGGTGCGAGGCAATTCTACGTCAACGTGATCAACAGTCCGATGTCACCCAAGGGGGACGAGGGAAACTTACGTCCACACAGTGCATGAGACTGAGGGTAGTGAAAGGATTGAGCGATTGAATGAATGAACGTATGAGTATCTGCAAGGTTTCCGCGGTGCAATCGTCACTCACTGGACTAAATTAATGCTAATATTGAGTGTGTAAGGGTGTATTACTTTAAGGGATACTTACAAAGCTCTTCGACACAGTCTTCGTGAGGTTGTCCTTGCCCAGATGTGACTCTTTCTGTGCAGTGGGCAAAGTGGTGATTCAGAGGTGCGCAGGCTGAAGTCTCGGCGCATTCTTCACGGATTTGAGGAGCAGGCTAAATACGGAATGAGACTAGGGCTGTCAAAGGGCTGGACGGCGAACGAACATCCTCTGGTTCTGCATCTTCCTCCGTGTTCTCTGCAGACACTTCCTTAGCGTCAGCTGTAACCTCAGTCTCTTTGACAGTATCTTCTAGTGGGGGAGCATCGTTATGAATGGTCCCTGAAGCAAAAATGGAGCCAACAAAGGTGGACATGGTCAAGGATGCTAAAGATGCTATTTGGTGAGAACGAGGCCGGCAACAAACGTCCTCGTGATTCATTCCAATCTAACCATAGCATTGCCATGAGAAATTCGGCCGTCAACTTGCTGGCGCTCAAAACCACTACGAGTCGCGAAGCATTGCGCCGGATCTCCTCTCGAACAGGAACCCCTATTTCTTCCTTATTGGCCTCATTCATTGTTCTTCACGAGATCACTGCAATTGTCCCGTTCGTCGGGGCATTCTACACTTTTCGCCAGTTCAGCGTGGGGGAGGTGGCTCTCGACAAGATTGTACAGCTTTCTCAGAGAGCTAATCCAGAGCGATCTTGGGGTCATACAGTACATGGGTGGATCAAGGACGGCGAGGAGCTGGTGGGACGAGTGGGGGCTCGGTACGGGATTTGGGCACCAGAATCGAGCGCTTCTCTGCATCCTCGCGAAGACGGCGGCCCTATCATTCGGGGGGTTGCAGCCGATGCAGTCCTCGCCTATGTAGCAACAAAAGTGAATGGTCTGCTTGCAGTTCTGTTTCGTGGACGCTTACTTTTCACAGGCTATTCTTCCGTTGCGGATAGGATTGTCATTATACCTTTCACCCTCCTTCTCTAGACATATTATTCAACCCTTGCAATCCGCGCTCTGGAGGGCAATACGGTAGGATCTGCCAGTCACCCGAAACCAATGTTGCCAGTACGTACGGCCACTGGGTTTGAAATAAACACCTTTTATTTTGCAAGAATGATACTGACAATCGACGCGAGGAATTAGCAATCCGATGGATGGCTCGGACTTCTTATTTAGACCTGGTCTGCTCATCATACCATCCTTAGGGGTTGTAGTGTACCGATGTAGTGTTGGCATGGTCAGTATTATGACATAAATATAATGGGGACAACAACATCATTTGGAGGGTTGTGGGAGCCATGTACATGTAGAGGTGTGTGGAGGCGATCATAAGATGGATCATCGACTTTCCGCGGCAGGGAGGTTCCCAATTCGAGTCAAATAATATTGACTCGATGCAAAAATCAAGTCAAATCCTTGTGAAATGAGATCTCATACTATGCTGTGGCAAATTATCATAAGATTTCCAAATCCCCGTCGCGGCCCAACATATCCTGAAGACGCCGACTAAGCAACTGCATATACAATTTTCTTGCCTCGCCAATTTCAGCACCTAACAGGTAACTGTACTGTGTGGGCCACATCAGCATGTTGCACATAAATTTTCAGGACTTTCCTTACTGGAATGTTGTTCAGGATGGTTAAGGCCGCCGCGAGCGCCTTGGCTAGCGTGCCCCCAGCCCGAGCATCGCTGGGACGCAGAGTATCCCTGGCAGACAGCACTGCATTGGGCCCCTCCCTCACATCCGAAGGAGTGGATGTGATGTTCCTCCACATTACCCACAGCAGGATCTCCACGGAGGCTTATGTAGATGAACTTCAGTTCAACGAAGCAAGGCCCACAGATTGAGAAACAAACCGAGGTACTCCAAGAAGGATTGCCCACATGTTTGCCAAGCGTGGTGTAGTTCAGCCCAAGCGGATTGTCTGAGTTGAAAGACATCGAGGGCATCAGAGGACATTTGCCCGCATTGTTGAAGAATCTACGGTGTAGTGTGAGAGAAGCAAATACACTAGATAGAGGAACTAGCCTCGAGAGCCTCAGATGGAGCCATACGATCAATGGATTGCAATTTCAGGTCGATGTCCTGCATCTGTCTTTGTGACCGGTCAAGCTGTTGTGTAAGAAACGACAGCGCAGATAAGACATCGATCAGCGTGAGCGCTGTGTGAATAAGGTGTGAGACAAATTCCTAACGTAGGGAGCTCAAAATAAAGGCGCACAAAAGCCCTCTCGAAAAATGGGTCCTGTCATATGATCGAAGTGTTAACAAGCAGTGGATTGGGCAATTTGTGGAGAAATTACCGAGCGTGTCTTGCGCGTAAATAACGTAGAGCGACAGCCAACGATGAAGTCGGAGTGTGGCATTGCGAATTCTCTGACTGAAGAGAGTACCCTCTTCCCCAAAACCTGATAATTTCGTTGGAAAATAGACTATTGTTAACGGACCAAGGCACATACCAACAGCACTTTGAGTAAGGCCTGTTCGTTCACCAGCACTCGGCACAGCGATTGCTGGATCCCATTTGGCCAAGTTTAAGCAGTCGCGAGCGAGCGATACGATTGTTACATGAATGGGTTTTAAGGCGTTAATGTCCCACTGAGATCCGTTCTTCAGGGCAGCCTAAGATGTTGCACGAGGTAGGTACTTACCAAGCCTGACAGGGATGTCTGAGAGTTCAACAGGGCTGCAAGGGTAACAACAAGGTGACGTTGGCTGAAATCACCAAGAGTCCACGGTTCACGAAACGACGATAACAAAGCCAGGATTACTTCCCGGTGAGATACAAAATAACTTGTCGCCTGAAACCTCCATCAGCAGGGAATTCGACGCCATGCGTAGGATCACCATACCTGCTTGATGAGAGACGGCGTTGGAGGCAACGACGTCAGGCAGCTGACCGCCAAGCGCAGCATGGGCTCCAGTATTTGGCGATGTCGGTCCGCAGTGGAGGGAAGAAAGGTATTGTGAGCTACAAATGTGTGCGTGAGATCGGCTCGCGGAAAATTAGTGCTTAACTCCTAACCCTCCATTTCCCCTCCATGAACAGCCATCGCATGAACGAAATCGCACTGACTTAAACAATTGTAGAGTCGGGCCTCAACAAGTTTAGCAGCCCCAAATGTTGTCTGAGCGACTCGAATGAGCAGGGACATCTTTGCCTCGTAAACATATAATGCGTTGAGGGAGCCTGGTTGGTGTGAATCATTCAAATGAAGGTAACTTCATTGAAAGCACTCACTGGCGTTGGGTATGAGTGAATGCTGGAGTTCCGTACTTCCATTTAGGAGAGATTGCAAAAAATTCGAGATATGCCCGTCTTTTGCCAACGCGGCTTCTATCTGCTGGGACTGGGCTCTCTGGGACAGTCGAACCAAGACCTCTAACAAGGCAAATGCCATAGCCTTCCACACTTCACTCCCATCAGTTGCGTCGCGGCATGCACACTGAAGTAATCGATCCACCATATTGATAACGATGGATAGGCACCCATTGAGGAAATCAGACACCAGAAGGCTATGGCTGCTCCGTACGTCCGGACCAAATTGCCTAGAACAGAGACTTTCAACGTGGTATCTTTGTTCATGAAGATTCGAGAAGTCCAACGCGAATTGCAAATATTGTATTATGACTGCGTATAAATTCCCCCGTACCACTTCGGATGTTCCTCTGTGGAGCAGGGACAGAAGGACGGACTTGAAGAAGGTGTGCAGGCGATCAATGGGCAATGCAAATAGTTGGCTCTCCCCTTGTAACGAGTGTAACCGCCTTCGAATAAAGGCTCTCAGCTTCGTAAGGACGAGCACCAGGGACGAGGATAGAGCTACCATTGTCGAATCAGGTGTTATTGGCGAATTTAGAGCTACGGAAAGGCTCTGAAAGATATCGTAAAGAAGCTTTTCTGCCCTATCTGAAGGCAAGTGGTCGAAGGCCTTGAGAAGGGTCACATTGAGCAAGCTCGACCACGCCATGTATGCGTGGCACCTTGCATGATCCACCCTCCGGCGATGGTTTTCGATGGCGACCCTCCTTAGGACTGTTCGAGTCTCAGCCCTCACCTGGTCCAGGGAGAGCGGCTGGAGAGACCCCGCCCCGTGTAGTTGGCCCCTGACTTTTGAAACAATCGCGAGTAAAGGCGCAAGATCGTAAACTTGGCATCCCACCTCATCGACACGAAGGCATCGGCTGAAATCACAATTTTCATATAGTGGAATTGGGGACTGGTCGTCAACAAGAGCATCTTCCCATGTCACAGAAATGGATTCCAGAAGACCCAGAATTCGTGAGGAAGACTGATCCAGCCCAAGCTCCCCTTCTAAGAAGTGATCCTCTTCGGCTACACTGGCAGTGTTAAGGAGTATTTCCACTAACTGGGCCGCTCTGCTCTTTTGCCGAGTGTCAGTCAACATGTGAAGTTCCATTGCGGTTGCGTCTAGTATGTGAGCAGTCATGCGTAAGCTGGTTGACATGGCGTCACTTGTTGTTGATACCCGCAACCCATCGACATAATGTGCAATTCCAAGGTTTCCTGAAAATCTGGGAGACGTCCTAATTGGGGTAGCAAGCAGTTGTCGCTGGAAGAAATGCTCCCGAAGCCGCAAGTGACGAACGACAGAGGAAGAGGTATACGGATGCACGCATAACTGATTGATAAGATGGAAGCATTGGTCTGCAAACGAGGGATGAGAGTGAGCAAGCCGAATTACTGCATCATCCTTCGACAGTCCTTGCCCCAAAAGTGTAAGTATAGAGTGAAGTATTCCCGACTCGTCGATGGCACTGATTTGGTCGTCCGTCACCTGACCGGAGTTAGAACTGTTGTCCAAGCCGAGCAGCACATGAGCAATGTTAGGAGATGGACGTGTAGATTTCGTATTGACTATCAGAAGTCGGAGTACTGTGGATCGTATAAGGGCTGATAGCGAATAGGCCGGATCTGGTTCTATCTTGCTCAAGCCGGGGTCGAATTCATCAGCATCGATGGAAGTGTCTTCGGCGTCTACCTCGAGCCAATGCCGAAACCCTTGGATGATTAAGTCAAGTCTCTGTGAGTTCCGCAACGCTGCTGCAAGGGGGTCCAATGTTTGATAAGTCCCAGCCGAGAAAGGCCGGCAATACTGGGAATTGCTCAGAGTGCGCAGAATTTTCAGGGCAAAAAACGGTATTTCACTCTCGGGCAAAGCGACAAACATTGCAATATTCGATGGAATGGAAGGATGCTGAAGCATTGTCAACTCCAGGGAATGGATTGTTGATACAGGAAATCCGACGGATCCAACATTGGGCAAGTCACCAACATCATTCAATATCGGCACCAAGCCTTCAATGAACATAGATTGGATATGGATGACTCGCCAGAGAACGCGTAGCGTGCGAATGGTTGAGCTGGCGACCTCGTTATTTCGCCGCAGTTGGAGATGTGTCCCTTCGAAGTCCTGAGCAACCAAATAAAGCAGATTTTCTTGCATTTTCCCGACAGTAAGAATCCATTTCATGACTGAGAAACCGGGATGGATAACAAGTGTGGCTAGTGTTGTCAGGGCCTTTGCCTTGTGTGCGGGTGTAAGATTGGTCCAGGATGACAGGCCTTCGTCATAAAGAATACTGAGGTCGAATCCTGCCAATGCTTTTTCAAAAACGCCGAGACATGCACTGAACATTTGCCACCGTTCGTTGGGGTCCGCGAAATCACGTTCGAAGGTTTTGAGAAAGACTTTCTCGGCGACGAAGTCGATGTACGGGCGAAGGCCAGGAATACGGTAGCCCGACCCCAATTGGTCGGGAATTGTTTGAAAAACCGTTCCAAAATCTTCCTTCAAAATGACATTCTTTGTTGGGACATGAATAAGAGAATCCAGCAGCTGGATTAAGGCTGTTGTGGCAGGATAGGTCTTTCCAACAGATTCAACTTGTTCCAGCTCTATCACCGCGCCCCCCGCAGCCCTTCCAACTCGAGACACGAGCATGGGGCCCTGGACGCCTTGGCGGACTGGAATAATCTCCATTTTTTCCAACACATTCCACATGTGATTCACAACGTCAATTCCAATCGCGCCAGCGTCAAGGCTGCTAAATGCGGAAAGCGTGTTGAATAAAATAGCTTTCAGTTCAAGTGGTATGGGGTGAGAAGCCAAAGTGAAGAGAGACTGGACGACTCGATAATCATGGTTTTCGTGAAGCGCGATCCTTGCCGTCGCAGAATACCGGGCCACATTCCGTAGCAAATTGAGAAAGGAACCCAACAGCACGATTTCCTCCGGTGGGAATGAAACTTTCGGGGAATCAGACTGGTGAAAACTGGAATGCACGCCTATAGAGTGCCCTGGAAAGATCGCTGTCATGCCGGATGGTGGGATTCGGCCGTGAGACAGCTGATTCTCGTAATGGTGTATGGCCATAAATAATGTGGACCAGGAGCAGGAGTTGGACGAGGAATACGTCTGTGGGGTAGCTGCTGAGTCGTTCCCGCCCGTTGAGAGGAAATTGTAAGCGAAAATGGCACTGGTTGAGCCCCGCGAAAGGGACGCTAACATGTCGTACATAGCGCCAATGGTATTGGCTTGCCGAGATTCGGCAGCCCACTTGAGGAAAGGTGTCAATCTCAGGCCGTCCCTCTCTGTCCAAAACCGGGTTGCGGAATCCGCCGGCATATGGTCATAGATCGCGGCAATAAGGCGAAAAAGAGCTTCTGTGTCTCGTCGGGGTGGATCAGGGGAAGCAGATGCCCCGTAGGGATTGCTGGAGTTAACAGCAGACCTCCCAGTGCGTGCCCAGGACAACCATACATCTTCTTCGTGTTTCCGGATATCGCGCAGTACACGAGACATCCGTGTTATGAGTGCAATGACCAAGCGATCAATGCACTCTACAAAGTACATTCTAAAGTCAGGGTCCAGGACTTCATCTTGTACCTCTCCGTCATTGCCATATTCCGATACGCCAATGACGCGAGAGCCATCGAAAGCGAACGGATCCATCAGGGCCGCATGATTTGCCGGACCCTGGGATCGCAGAACAAACTCCCTAAGGGCTTGAAAAGCGCCGCCACGAATGGCCTCCTTTGCAATGGTACCCACTTCATCCTCGACCACAACGTAATCTCCAAGGAGATTCGGATCCCTGCCTCGAACCTCGAGTACAAACAATGACCATTGAAGCAAGAGGGAAGCTCGAAGGTGAGGAAGCTCCCATGAAGAGGCATTGAGGGCAGTATGGACGTTGACAAACAAAGAGCTGTTAGTATATATGTCGGAGAGGGCCCCATCTTCGTCTGTGGAGGAAGGATTGATGGTAACTAGCACACAGGCAAAAACATAGAAGACAATGCCTTGCGAATAGTCCTTCACACTGGATAGCCACTTGACCAGATATGTCACATCTGTGGGGCCTAGTTGTCCGCACGCAGCGATTAGGTAAAGGACGTGTGCACACAAGGCTCGCTCCTGAATGCTAGCAGCCTTACGGTTAATGCGAATGAAACGAGTTCTTTGGGCTTCCAAAGGTGCAGTATGATAGTTAGGAGATGATTTATTCTACGGGGTAAAAACTTACCCTGGATAACGGGCGGAGAAGACAAATTAACACCTTCTGACTGGAGCGGGCCTCTGGGGCCCTCGGTCGTCGGGATAAGATCATCGATCTCCGCGAGCAGCTTCCTAGCGAGATTAATTTGGCCTTCTTCCACATTCGTACTGAAGGGGGCCAGGATGAGCTGCAGTGCGAGAGCTCGGATGAATTCCACATTGGATAGGTTGGGGATATCGGTGCGTGTCGCTGTTTCGAGAATAAGCTGGAGACAACGTATAGAAGCAATGCGTTCCCTGTGATGCAGCATCACGGCTTTCTCTGCAAGCCCAGAAATTCGACTATTTGGTTGAGTACGTAGCACATGCCCTAAGAGTTCGGCGCAATAAAACTCCGAGCAGTCCAACTGGTCGGCAAGAAAAAGCACTTCTTGCTTGAATTCAACATTAAATACGGATGAGTGACCCTGCATAGAGTATTTGCCTAGGCAGAGCACCAATCAATGGTGGAAATGATACACATCCTCGGAGTGTTCGCTCACCGCTTTCGATCTCGACCTTCTCCTTCGGGCTCCTTGGGAGAGTGACGAGAAGACGTTTTAACAAGTCCTTCGCTTCGTCAAGAATTACCAAAGCAGCATGTTCTGGAACTTCAGAAGACCGAGCAACTAAAGTTTTGAGCTTGGACTCTAAACGCTGAAAACTGTCCATATGGTTCAAAACCGGCGGCGCTTCATAAGTAATATATTCGGCCAACTCCGCCGCACCACTGAACCTTACATTGCATACATATAAAAGGGTGCTGACATCGCCCCTTTCTCGCCTTCCCTATCCCCTGAACTCCTCGTGTCTCTCTCGGTGAGTAAAGACCGACTTGCTGCTTTTTCCCGAACCTACACCCGTGAACCACTGCGGTAGGCATAAGGTGTGAAAGGCCTCTAACGAAGATAGCGCGTGGAGGAGGTGGGGGTGGGGGCTCAGTTGAGTTTTTATCCCACTGCAGATGATGAATTAGAAGTTGGCAGCTTCTGGGAGAATGGCATCGCGTCACTTACCTTATACTCAGGAAATTGATAGAGTTCAATGCGATGTTACCTCGACCGGGAAAACATCCGTTCGTGTTCTTGACGCGTGGATCGCGCACCGCGACTGGCGGTTCGCCTTCGAGGACACCATATTAGCGAATGGCAGGCTTTCTCTCTTTGTCCTTGGAGGTCCTGGCATGCAGTGCAGGGTCCCAAATGACGCGATATGAAGGTTTTAGCTTCACAGACTCATGTGAAGGAGGAGTCGGTTCACGAGTGACGGTGGTAATGAAGAGTTCAGGTGTGCCTTTGCCGCTCTCCTGGCACTTTTGCATTCAAATGTGTATTTTTTCCTGCCTTTTGTGAACCGATCTTAGTCTGGTTTGTGTGTAACTTTCCCTTCTATTTGTAATTTAGATCCTCCAACTTCGTCTTTGGCACTCTCCTAACAGTATGCATTCTTTCATGGTTTATATTTTATGTCTTTAACGATCAGCGGTACATGATTTCGAATAATTTGACCGTGCGCCCAGGAGAGTACATATATAGTCAGCTATCCCCTATCGATGGACACTCAGGCGTTCACTAATCCAGACGTGAGTCTCACCAACGTACATGCCCTTATCCACCGTGTCAAACAAATTCCAGGTTGTGTATCCATTCTCCGTCACCTTGACAGAATGAAGTAAGACCTTCGCTGTCGCGCGGCAGAATGACCCTCCCAATCGCGTCCGATTTTGTTTGCTGCTGACACTCCATGTGGTTTTGGTTTAGCAACGCAGTGTATCCCCCTCCAATCTCGCAGACGGTGTCAGCTCCTCACTCTCAGCAGTGATCAACGTGTGGCGCATCGTGAAAACTTTGTTACTGAAGTTGCCTCTGCAGATGTACGACGCAAATGTCACCGTCGTTTCATATTGTAGTGCTAACGCTGCAATAATACATTAGTTTCGCGACAAAATATGGACTGTTTGCAATCGGTTTCTCTTCTCTCGCTTTCGCGGCACTGGTGTCGAGCCCTGCGCTCCGTTGGTAATCTTGTTTCGATGAAGGTTCGACGTCGCCATCAGTGCCGGGTAACCCGACAAGCCTACGGTCAAAGTTAAACAGCGCAAAAATTAGTTTTACAAAAAATCCACAGCAACACGAGCGAAGCCTGTAGCGTGCAAACTGCTGGGTCGTACAGATGTTGTCAGCGTAACATGGAATGCGTAGCACAACACCCTCCGGTGCTCACGGATGTCTACTGAGTGAAAGAGGCTATAACACCTCACGCAGCTCAGGCATCTCGTTTGATTTAGTGCCACCAATCGGCCCACGGAACAAGCTGCCATGGTCGTTTGGGCGAACTCGTGTCCGGGCACACCGCGAAAATATTCATGGTCGAAAATCGTACTGGCCAGGGGCATTGTGGTTGGGCTGGGAGAATGGATTTACTTCTATTCCTCCTGGCGTGACAGATTAGTTTGAGACGATGGTCTCTTTTTAGCAATCGGCGCACAGTTGGTTGGGGTTTCTCGGTGCAGGCCGACTGAGTGTCATTTTGTGTCACCAGCAGGGCCTCCAGCCTGTGACTGCTTAATATTAGAGGGGTGGGCCTGTTGTGTGTTTGGAGTCTACTGTCAGTACAATGATTATTTAGTGAAGTTGGCATTGAGTTTGCAGTTTACTGCTCAGAGTGAACGTCCGTCATAACGGCTGTTGCCGATCTTCTGCAAAAAGACCTCGCAGAGATTGACCCATGTGGACTTGCCGATGACCAGCTGAGGGATGCATACCACCTGCGAACCAGAACACCACCCGATGGTTTGATCACTTAGCGGACGATGCGGAGGTGGCATAGAGAGTTTTGATGTGAAGATTCGTCAGTGACATTTCCTCTGCCAAAAGGAAGTGAACCAATAAGTCGCACTCAGGATGATTCACATGAAATAAGTTGTGTGCGTTCCGATTACGGCCATCATCACACAATAAGTATGCCAACTCACGGGGAAATTACTCCCCGTCGGGCCCGGGCCAAACGACACCAGAGACGGCAGTGGCTCGCAAGGCTTGGTGTCTCTTGGATCTGCCGAACTGAATGGGATCATAGCAGCAATTTTCATCACGTGAGCCGGCCATTACCGGGTTGATCATCGGCAAGCTGACCGCGAGAAGGCCTTCAAAGCCTCTGCTTTCCTTCCTCACACTTATTCTCCTGTAACAAGCCTATCCCCATACCAGCATGTTAACCCTGAAGCCCCGAAGTACGCTCCTCGGGCGCTCAGTTAGCCGCGTTCTCAGCAATGTGAGGATGGCGACAGCCGTGTCCCGCATAGCTGACAGGAGGGTTGAAATGTCGCCCCTCGAGCAAGGCAATTATATTAACTACCAGCGTATCGAGGACAATTTGTCTGTTGTCAGGGGCAGGTGAGTTCCACAAGAATGGGATAGTATCCGTTGTGCTTGATGTCAAGGTCCACATGCCAGACTCAACCGTCCCCTTACATTATCCGAAAAAATCCTTTACGGTCATTTGGATGACCCTCACAACCAGGACATCACTAGGGGTGTGAGCTACCTCAAGCTTCGCCCTGATGTAAGTTGTGTTCGATGTATTTTGTGGCTCTTCTGCACACCTGACTTCAAATCCCACAGCGAGTGGCATGCCAAGATGCAACTGCCCAGGTCAGCTTTGCCGTATTCCCGATCTGCCACAGTTCTCACACTATTAGCCTACGTTCAACAGATGGCTCTTTTGCAGTTCATGTCCGCCGGGATGCCCACCACAGCTGTTCCCACGACAGTGCATTGTGACCACCTGATTGAGGCTCAACTTGGAGGACCGAAAGACCTTGCTCGTGCCATTAATATAAATAAAGAAGTCTATGATTTCTTGGCGACCGCGACCGCAAAGGTGGGTTAGATAGTTGTCTATTCCTTCTATATGTTTTGCGGCAGGCACCCTAATGATCAGCAACTCGTCCACAGTATGGCATTGGTTTCTGGAAACCAGGCTCCGGTATCATTCACCAGATAATTTTGGAGAACTACGCTTTCCCTGGAGGGCTTATGATTGGGACTGATTCACACACCCCCAACGCTGGTGGTCTCGGAATGGTTGCTTGCGGCGTTGGTGGCGCAGACGCAGTCGACGTCATGGCAGACCTTGCCTGGGAGCTCAAGTGTCCCAAAGTCATTGGTGTCAACCTGACTGGAAAAATTGGAGGCTGGACCACGCCTAAAGGTATCGCCACTTTTTCGTAGCGAATTAACAATTTTGACGTGCACCTCAGATGTTATACTCAAGGTTGCCGGTATTCTCACGGTCAAGGGTGGCACGGGGGCTATTGTGGAATACAAGGGGCCGGGTGTTCAGTCCCTGTCCTGTACAGGAATGGCTACTATTTGCAACATGGGAGCAGAAATTGGCGCGACTACTTCGTTGTTCCCCTTTAACTCCCGTATGGCGGATTACCTCAAAGCAACTAAACGCGGCGAGATTGCAGCCTATGCCCAATCCTTCCAGCGCAACCTCCAAGCGGACGAGAACGCAGAATACGACCAGCATATCGAAATTAATCTCTCTGAGTTGGAACCTCATATCAATGGTCCGTTCACTCCTGATCTCGCGACTCCCATATCCAAGTTCGCGGAGGAGGTGAAAAGAAACGGCTGGCCACAGGATCTCAAGGTCGCTCTCATCGGTTCTTGCACCAACTCTTCCTATGAGGATATGTCTCGTTCTGCCTCCATTGCACGCGAAGCCACAGAGCATGGCATTGAGGTAAAGAGCAAGTTCACAATTACTCCTGGTTCTGAGCAGGTCCGCGCTACCATCGATCGTGATGGTCAAATCGGAATCTTTGAGAAGGTTGGTGGCCTCGTCCTTGCAAATGCTTGCGGACCTTGCATTGGCCAATGGGATCGTCAAGATGTCAAAAAAGGAGAGCCCAATTCCAGTGGGTGCCGTCATCACAATAACTGTCAAACCTTTCTGACATTTTGACAGTCATTACATCCTACAACCGCAACTTCACCGGTCGCAATGATGCTAATCCCGCCACACATGCGTTCGTTGCTTCCCCCGACATTGTTACAGCCATGGCTTTCGCCGGAGATCTTACTTTCAATCCACTTGCTGATACCCTTATCGGGGCTGATGGCAAACCATTTAAATTTTCGGACCCATCTGGACACGAACTCCCCCCTCGAGGATACGACCCTGGCAAGGACACCTATCAGAAACCCCCTCATGATCGCGCTAGTGTGAGCGTTGCAGTTGATCCAAAGAGCGATCGACTCCAGCTACTAGAGCCTTTCAAACCTTGGGACGGCCAGCAGCCTACCGATCTCCCTATTCTCATTAAAGTCAAGGGAAAGTGTAGTGAGTGACATTTCACCCGACATTCAATACAACTCGTTAATGCATGTCAAGCCACCGATCATATCAGTGCTGGCGGACCTTGGCTCAAGTATCGTGGACACCTTCAAAACATTTCGAGTGAGTGAACGTTGTAGTCCCTTCAGGTCACTTTTGACGCCTTTTTAGGAAATTGCTTAATTGGCGCTATCAATGCTGCGAATGGGGAGGCGAACAACGTTAAAAATAAGTTGACTGGCGAGTGGAACGCAATTCCTGATGTGGCCCAATATTATCGAGATCATGGCATTAAGTGGGTGGTGATTGGTGATCACAATTATGGGGAAGGCTCCTCTCGAGAACATGCTGCGCTTGAGCCCCGATATCTGGGTGGATTGGCCATCATCGTCCGCAGCTTTGCCCGGATTCACGAAGTACGTCCGATGTAACATAGCAGTATGGGTGCTGCGCAACTTGACGTCCTCCGTAGACCAATTTGAAGAAGCAGGGAATGCTTGCGCTGACGTTTGCTGACCCTGCAGACTACGACAAAGTTCAGCCAGATGATAGAGTCACCATCAAAGGTCTCGAAACATTTGCACCAGGGAAAAATATACTTCTCGTTGCAAAACACTCTGATGGTTCTATTGACGTGAGTTGATTCCATTGCAATTGGACGGTGAAATAGATAACCAATATATTTTGTGTCAGGAAATTTCTTTGGCTCATTCTTTCAACGAAGGGCAGATTGAATGGTTTAAGGCCGGCTCAGCCCTCAATTTGGTGCGTATTCTGCTTATTGTCTCCTGTGATAGAACAGATAATGTTGTCCACAGATGGCGAAGCGCTCGAAAGCTTGAACGTCTGTTTCAAAATATTGTTTCTCTTCGCGTGCCGAAACTTCCCACTTGTACATGAATCCCTCACCTGCCGCCGATTGTTACATGAAGAATCATATACTAGTGCCTGCCGCATAGGATGTACCCGTCAAACCTCTCGCGATTAGTGAGAAGTCATTAGCAGCCGCTGCCGTTCTTGCCGATGATCTCGAACTGGAATGTTGACACCACTTGAGCCTCTGCTACTATTAAAAGGAGATGGTGAGTCACCTGATAACGGTCTTCATAAATGCGTCCTTGGACTCGGAAGTCACCCTTCCATTCGGGCTGAGTCGAGCCTGAAGGCAAATAACGTTCATCGGCAACCCGACGAGGGCACTCACAATGCTGCTCACATGATTCATTGCATTAATGACCCAGGCTCTTGCCTCAGAGTATTTTGAAACAATCGTTGACAGGACAGCGGCAAGATTGGGTACGGCTGACCGTGGTGCATCCCCAGCAATGCCAACTATCAGAGTTTCAATGACGGACTGACCATGTTGTCGGACGAGGTTACGGGAATTGTCAAAATTCGCATCCTGCTCCATAGTCGTCTTCTTAATGAGTGTGACCTAATTGAGGAGGTTAGCTAGGTGACGGGTGAACGCATATTCGTTCGAATTATACCAAAAATTTGCAGCTCCCAACCAATGAGTAACGTTCCTGCAGTTTGAGGGCATGAATTGAACACATCATAACAGCGTTCGCAACATCGGGGGGGAAAGCAATGATCGCGGAGAAGAAGGATATTGAAATTTGATCCAGACATGCAAAGAAACCTTGAACTAAATCTGGATTCTGTCACAAGGCTGGATTAGCCACAGGGAACAAGTTAGGTGGCTTCAACGAACCGCTTCCATTGCGCCCTCCTCTGATAATGTCCGCAACGACGATACAGTTAAGCTAAGGGTAGCCTGTCTTACCAAGGCAAGGATTTCTTCATCAGGTTCAGGTTTCAGTGAAGTCCAAGACGTGGGCTGTAGTTGAAGCACTAGCTTCGCAGCGATGCCTAGCCAAACTGCTGTCAACTGACGATTGGCGGCCACGCATATGAGCTCCAGAAGAGGCGCAGGGGGCAAGGAAATCAGCGTGGCCTCCTCCGGGAGAGCTGTCATGTATTTGAATAATTCGCTGATGGTCTACATCATCATCCGTCACCGACGAATAACAGGAGGAGGGAGTCCGTGCGCTCACATCAGCCACCTCAGAGTCAGAAGACCAAAGATCCATTATTTGGGCCAAGAGTCTAAGGATTATATCACGAGAGTGCGCCAAGGAAGAAGAGGCACGCCCGCGTTCCATAGCCTGTAGAGTGGATGACCGTTCGAGCGAATCGCTGTCGTCGTAGAGAAAGGTATCTTGGGACGCGCTTAATCCCCGCGCACATGCCACCAAGAGGACCAACTGGTCATTAACTGACGTGCGTGCTTCCTCTGGTTGCTGTTAAACACATGTGACTCGGCTCGGTTGCAGTACCTCAAGGGTGACTCACCGTTGAATATTGCTCTAGTGCAAGACTGAGTCCGGTGATGACGGGGCGAATGACAGCCTGAAAATTTGATATAATATGATAAACTTAACCATCCCTTGACCTACCTCCGTCGGCGCTGCACCTTGTTCTGGAGGAAGGGCTTGTATTACGCTTGACACGGCTTCGATGACTTTGGCACGTTCTGCATTCTATCCACAACGACATTACTCTGGTACTCCCGAAACACTTCTCTGGACATACCGGTACGCTCCCCGCAAGAACTAGAACATCGCCAAAAGACGCAATGTGTGGTGCCAATTGAGTGCGGTTAGCATCGCAGAGTTGTTTCATTGACGTCGAGGCAACTAAAGAAAGTCCATGCTCGCCAAGACTCCTCGAAACGTACGCGACAACTTTCAGGAGGAGTGCAGAGTCTTGTGTGGAAAACCATGTAGAATATTCCCCTATCGTTAGACTTCTCAGGAAGACTATTAACTAGTGAACAAGTGAAAGTACCGATGAGATTGAGTGCGGTTTGCCGGACGCGGTGGTTTCCAGATGCAGGAATTTCAGTAAGTATTGAAAACAATCGCCGCAAATAGATATTCTCTTGGAGTGGGACGGCATCTTGAGCACATTTCACACAATGTAAAGATGCTTCGATAGTCTGTTCGCGTTATGGGTTAGTAGCATAAGCTATGCCATGTAATCAATTGACACCAACTTCCCAGTTGATAACGTCTGGCGAAAGCAAGACATTATCGCAGACAGGATCGACCAGGATACGCAAAGCTTCGTCCTTTATTATGTAATAACTACTGAGACTGCTGCTGAGTACGCCAAGCTGAAGACATAGGGGTGACGTACGCATTTACAACGGCCTCTCCGAGATCCCTTCGGTACCTGGGGAAAGATGGGGCAACCATAATCATCATGAAGAATGCGACCCACGCAATGAACCTGTCAATTTGGTCTTCGGATCATATCAGGGACTAGGAGGGCGGAAGGTATAGAACGCTTGGCCCCACCTGTCGACCAGTCACTTAAGTCAGATGACGAGGGCCATGTACACTTCCGTACAAGTATATCAACTAGCTTTGCAAAGACACCTTTTGCCATAACCGTCTCCGACGCTGAAGGATCGGACATGAACTCTGAATCAAGGAGCGCTTCCCCAAAGTAAGTCCAGAAAGATGTTGTCATCTAGAAAAATATTGATGAGATATCGCTTTACATACGAGTGCCTTCAATTACCTCGCTTTCCTCCTCGTCAACACCGTACCACCCTGGGAATCCTGTATAACCTAAGAAAACCCGCAAAAATGTCTGAATCGGGCGCGATGAAAGGTGTAATGCCATGTACGCGACGGAATGGTCTCCTAAGGCCACGAGCAGCTTGCACAAGCCTCTTGAAACCTCATCGATGGCAGAAACTAATATGTTGCGTCTCATTAGCGGCTTCCAATGGGTTTGGAAGAGCTTGAGGCGAACCTTCGAGACTGTTTTGGAATATATTCTGACCAACCTCATCTAACCACGTTAGAAGTGGTTCTGTCAAAACTCTAGTGCCCGTGCCATTTGAAAATGGTGACGATGTCAGAATCTCCTCCAAAATGCTAGCAGCAGAGACGAATATCAGGGGGTCGGTCAGATTAGCAAAAAGCGACGGAAGTGTGCTAGTAATGTCACTTGGAGGTGTATGAGTCCATGTTAGCCCACGCGAACGCTACTCCCCGCTCACTTCGCTGGTAGATGTTGTATCCACGTCTCACAGCATTTACAAGCGGCAACTCTCTCGCTGACATCACGTTCCGGATTATTCAAGGAGCTCAATATAGCTTGGAGGACGGAGTAGCTGGCGCTTCTCAAGGCGGTGCTGAGATGAGCACTAAACCCAAAGATGAGCTCGACGCACTGAGCGTTTCGGATAACATTACCGGCTGGGTCCAACAAGGTCAGATCTCGAAGCCTCTTCGGCGATGATAGAGAGATAAGTAAGGAGAGCCTCATGAGGGAATGAAGACGAGGCGGAGAATGTGCGAACAGAGCTGAGCACCCAATCTTCCCATCGAGGAGGGTTATATGAGCACAGTCTCAACCCAAGTGACACCACCTAAGAAATCTCAACACATGGATTACAGGGTTTCTCGGTCAACGCACGGCAACAAATAATTTGCGCAGGACAGTCTTTGGCTTTCCTGATGATGCAGCTTGCGAGGTCAGCAAAAGCAATGACTCTCGAAATGCTTCAATATCAGTTTCGGGAATCGTATCCCTTATATGATAATATATGAAGTGTAGTGTTAGACAGTCAACACGAGTTCAGACATACCAATCACGGGCAATCTTGACTTGGGCCGTATGAGCACCAAAGAATTGGACGTTTGGATTCTTGGCAAGTGAATGTGAATAGCGGCCTCTTAAGCCAACACGGGTGGTTACTTGCTTCATGATTGAGAAATGGACCAACTATTGTCCATGCTTCGGAGCGCTTCTGAAAGTTGAAGAGTTGCTGTTGAAGAGCGTGCTGTTGATCGGGTGAACAGTGTCCAGAATAAAGTTGCTGAACTATCTACGCCACGAGTCGGGTCCGATGAATTTCTGCCATAAGAATGAAGCGGCTTATCAAGCACGAACCGAGAATGCATGCTGTAGGTCTTCCTGGGAGATTGTTGGAATACTCATCTCCTGCAGCAACTGGGAACTCAAAATGCACACTGCAACGAATCAATGATAGATTTTGGTACACTGCCACCCATACAAGGCTAGTTGAGCCAAATAACAACGAAAAAGTTAACGAAGCACTGTAGGTGAGATGCCCAAAAAATTATGACCAGCCAAATTTCTCAGATGGCAACCTTTCAATTAATCAGAAACCTCTTCTTCTTGTTCGGCCATCTGAACCTTCTTCTTCATGTTACTCGCTGAGCATCAGGATGAGAAAATAAGCAGCGGTTTTAGTACAAGGAGCGCACTTTCGCGGGAAATGAGTCCACTAGTCATCCAGCCTTCCGGGAACACCCCAACGATCTATCTCAATGTGAGAGGTGTGGAAGACGTGGGATCCGCGCAAGTGCATACCCGTTGGTAAAGTGCCTTCCTCATGCTTTGGTCACTAACTAGGGGATGATTTCCTGGCTCATATTCGCTGTTATAGTTGATAGATCAATGCGTTCGGCGGAAGGAGTGTTGGTGCTTACTGCATCACGTTGGCCATGGATGCCAGGGTGTTATTAAGGGACACCATCTGCCATACACAACTTTTGATAGGGTCTGTCCATCGATATCTCTGAACAGGGCGGGCTGTGTCACGCTCCCTCTTAGCGGGGGCAGCACTACCAATATCATCTTGGTTTGCTGCGACCTCAGCGGGAGCATTTTCTGATTCCTAGAGATTAACAGCGCGGGGGAATAAGCAATTTTATTAAAGAATCAAAGGATTGCGCCCTTGCCGCTTTTATTCGCTTCTTCTCCTGCTTTTCTTCTGAAAGATATCAATAGATCATAAAGCATGGAAGTTCTCAAGACATTCCGGATTTACCCCATCTTGTCACCTCATCTTTGTGCGCTTGCTGTGCAGCGAGGAAACCTTCCTCGACTATGATCTTGAGTTCTTCCAAAAGAGCATCAATGCGATGATTTATTATCTTGACGTGCCTATCGTATATGAGTCTCTTGACAAGTTTCTGGGTGAAAGAGGGCGTTAGACATCGGAAACGAGGCATTCAGAAGCTCAAACGAACTGTCATGGTGAACTTGTTCCAAGGAAATATCTCTGTGATATACTTGAAGAAATTTTCGCCATACTCATCCAATTCGACAGCTTTGAGAGCAACCTCGGAGAGTGGAGCACGGAGAGCCGGAGGAAATTTATTTTTAAGAATGAAACTTTCTTTCGCTACCAGGGGCTGTAACTTGCGAAACTCCTCTTGCATAAGAGGCGAGAATTCATGAAGCTTTACAGCTTTAGCGTATAAGACTTGAAAGAAAGATATATATATATAACGCACTAAGTCGCCAGTACTGCTTCGTTTCCTCTTTTTAGAAGAGAGATCGCCATTTTGAGACTCGTGGTCCGTTTTCGTGCCATTCGAGGTCTGTAGAGTAGAAATGCTGACACTGGCCCCGTTTTCCATCTTCATTCGTTTGCTGGAAGCGTTCATTGTTTCCGAGTATGCATCAGGTTGATCATTGTCGTCCAAAGCGATGGGACTGTCTTGTGTGCCATTGCCCACGGAACGGGGGGGTTCTCGGGAAATTACAGTACTTTCCCTGTTAATCTGTGGGCTTGAGTCGTCAGCTTGTGCTGCCGAGTCCCGGCTTGGAAACTCAGGTAGTTGAAAGGGTAGGACATCTGGGGGTTGCAACGCGCTCTCAGGTTTGGATGCCAGTCCGTGTAGAGTGGAGCGAGATGAATTAAATCCGGGTCGCGCTGCGGTAAGGAATGATGGCAATTTTGAGGTAGTCGAAGCTGAACCAGCTTTCCGTTTTCTGCCCAGTTTCGATTCACTTAAGAAGTCTTTCAGCGTCGGTCACGAAGAAAGACGGGACACCCAGTACCTATCAAGAACAAGTGTAACATCACCACTATTGACGTAAAATCCTTTCTGTTTGGTTTGAGCGAAGTGGGTTGGAGCATCAACACCTAAATCCGAATCATCAATGAAAGGGTCGTTCAGGTCGTAATATTCATTTTCTGGGTCGGCCCGTCGTCTCCTACGCCTCGGCTTGACGGGGATGTTTAATTTCGAAGCTGTGTCGTTCGCCTGTCCTCCCTTGGACTTTTCATCATCGTCATCATCGTCCTCACTTCCAGAGACGCTGTCGCGTCTTCTTGGCGGCGGGGTAGGGGGGTGTTGTCCTGCTTCCTTTGCGCATTCAAGAATATTGACAGCATAGTTGGATGGACCTCCCAAAGGAATGTCGAGTCGAATCGTGATGGGTGCTGGCTGAGGTGGAGGCGGAGGCGTTGGAGAACGAGGTCTGGCTTTGGATTTTGGCTTTGCCGGTTTCTCGGTAGGAGCGACAGAAGAAGGTTCAATAGTACCTTCTTGCTGAGATTCAATGCAATTAGAATCCTCTGCAACATCCACTACGTCAGCGCCCCCTTGCTCGGGGTGAGAAGCGTCAGGGAGTGTCTCTTCAGGCTCAGGACTTCGGCTGGGTGAGGATTCTTCATCCCCGGACTGTTCGAGGGGACCTTCGGGAGTTGGTGAAGCTGGGTGTGCAGGCGTTGAATGCCCAGACGCAGTCCCTTCTTGCTGATCTAGATCAGACATGACTGCAATAGCAACAGTGATACGGTCAGCGACGACACTAAGGTGATATCTTTGACGTTCTTTTCCAAAGTCGAGACCTCACAGTGACTCAATTTCGGCAACATATAAATTTGTCATTGCCTCACATTTGAATATCTCAAGCGTTCAACACAGACAAACCTCGTGTATGCACAAAGTTCGATGATTTTCTTGGTCGCGTCTTCGACGAGGCGCAACGCTCGCGCGGCCGGAGGTAGGTAATAGGCATTGGATGAGGGGTTTCTGAGTAAGAACTACAGTGAAAACAGCTTCATCCGGTCAAAATAAAAATGTTATCCTAAGATAAAATTGTGTACATCAACCCAGGTATGAAATGCAGGAGCATTCGTGTCGGCACAATACTACGTGAAACGCCCGAGATAACGCATGAACGAGAGCGAGACAAATCACTCGCTCTTATGCACGGTCGGAGACGATATGTCCGATACTTAGGGGATTCTTCTTCCCGCCATTGGGTGTCATCTCGTGGTTGGGAGGGGGCAGGATAATAGGAGTACGCGGGGTGACGGAGGTAGAGCCACTCGAAGACGTATTCGAGGCTACATCCCCGACACGTCTTCCGTACGCCGGGTGCTGGGGTGGGTGGACATTTGACGGATAATACCCAGCCTCCATCACCTGATGAGCGTACCGGTAATTCACCGCCGCTTGCGGTGGAAGCTGGGGGGAATGTTGGATTTGGGGGTGATTTTGTGTAGTGTAATATTGAACTGCGGAAACGTCTGGAGGTACATAGTGAGATTCTGTTGGCGACTGGACGTGAGACGCAAAGGGGGCCGCAGGAGTTGGGCCAGCTCGAAGTGGAGGTAGGGTCAAATTACGGCCCCGTGGACTGGCGGCTGGACTCGCCTCCTCGCTAGAAATAGGACGCTTGTCGGGAGTATCCTGAGGAACATCATAGGGGCCGAGGTGCAAAGCACTGCGAGCATCATCCGCTCTAGGAATGGTGCTTCCCGGATATTGGAATGTGTCAACATCATGAGGGGGTCGGTACGCGTATCCCAGCGGTCCTTGGCTAGGCTGCAACGGATGCGGTGACGTTGTAGACCAGGTTTGCTCAGGCCGAGTTGCGTAGGAAGTTTGGGAAGGATAGTTGAGTGTTCCTGTTGCAGAATGATGGGGGGACATTGGTAGAGCGGCACTCTCTTGTCGAGGCTCGGATACGTATGGGTACGAAGCGGCACTTGTTGCCACCCCATAGGATGGTGTGGGAGGAGAAATTACGTACGAATTGTAAGCCGAATTTGACGATGGAGGGAGAATAATCTCTCGCGTTGACTCTTGAGGCGGTATGGTGAGGCGTTCATTGCGAGCAAGAGGATCTGGTTGTCGATATTCTGTTGTCGAGTATCCCGACGTTGCATACGGAGTATAGGCTATTAAGGAATGGTCAGGAGAGCGAGCAGAGATGGATGGCCCTGAGAGCCAAAACGAGGGGATGGAACGTACTCGTTGAACCAGGGTCAAGTGAGTGTACTGGGTTGTAATAAGCGGTTGAATAAGGGTTATAGTTAATGCTGGAAGATGATGGATACGCCCCTGTCCGAGGAAGAGGTGAGGGGTGAGATGCTAAATCTTGGGAATGGGAGAAAGGACCAGCGGTACTCGGATGGTGAGGAGGGTGTGCAATGCCGTACATTTCACGAGGCGTGGGTCGGTTAAGAGGTAAATGAGACGATGGATGTGGGTAGGGTTGTGGTTGAGGAGGGGTGGGCCGAGGCTCAGGAAGACCTATCGAGGACACGAGCGCTCCAGAATGTGAAGTACTTGGGGACGGTCGGTAATAATCATCCTGTGGCCGGTGTGCTCGTCGAGATGCCGGATCAGCTGGTGGAGCAGCTTCGAGTTGAGGGGTAACGGTTGGAGGGCGGGGCTCCTCCCATGTTACAGGAGGATGAGAGGCCGAGGGAGGATTGGCCAACTCCGTGGCTTGCTGTCCGTGTGCAGGATGCGATACAGCTGTAGGTGGTACGTCTGGAGCGGTGCATTCAGCAGTAGAATTCGAAGGACCCGCACTGGAAGTCGGTGCTGAATGATACGTAGACTCAAACGAGGCACCGGAAGGGGGGTATGAGGTCCACGGTTGGGACAACGGCGGCTCGGACTCCTTCTCTTGCGAAGGATCGGGATTGACGAGGCGTGGGCGTTTCGCGGGCCTCGCGGCTTTCCCCTTCCCTTTGATGCTTTCTGGTTTGCCGCTGTCCAGAGCACGGCGCTTATTGTTAGGACGGGAATCCTCAGCTGGCAGTTCTTCGGTCGCCTGGACGGTGGAAGAGGTCGAAGGAGCATCTCCGTCTTGACTATCGTTACCCTCCACGCTGTTCTCAGGGGCTGGGAATGGGAGCGACTTTTTGCGGACACGAATATCTTTTCGTATCCTAATCTTGATACCTTGATCTGCAAGAGAACAGGATAGTGGCGTGGACTCTGTGAAATGAATTGAATAGGTGATGCGTGTATTTATTCAACAAAAATCAGAGAAGCAGGCACGGAGACGGTGCGAAATATGACAGAAACTTACCTTCCATGCCAGGAAATTTTTTCGCCGTGTAGACATAGAAAGGATTGGAAAAGATAGACTTGCAGTGATGAACTTTGGTCCTACGAGGGGTTGCGCATAGCCGTATAAGGGTGGCGGTGGTAATGACGAATGAATAAAAAAATATCCTTACCCTTTTACTTCGAATAAACTTAATTTAAGCCTGTAGCTGCCTTCAGTGCGGACACTCAAGTCGGGGAAGACGAAAAAGCCCGCATCAACACCACCGTTTTCGGTATCTTTGAGATGATAAAGGCTGGAAACGACAGAGCCAGTCGTGCATCTAGTCCGCCCATCTTTGAGAACATGAAGTTCATCGTCAGAATCCGGGGCAGCGAGAGAGGCGAACATGAAATAGTAGGGATTTTGGAGAAAGGACGTCGTCGGAGTGGGTGCATCCCCAGGTGCGGCATTCTTGGGATACTCGCTGACGCGAAGTTGGACAATTGGAGGAGGGTCAATGGGACGCCGATCCGCTATTGAAGGAAAGTGAATGAATAGATGAGTAGATGGTTTGATGAAGATAAGGCTGAGTGGAGAGTGTGAGAGAACACACCTTTGCCTCCTTAGTGTAAAGGGCACGTTGGCAAGTGCGATAAAAGGGAGAAAGTAAAATGGATAAAAGTCAGCAAGTGAGATGATTAAATGAAAAAGAAAAAAAAAAGGATTAGCCAGGTGAATGGGGGGAATGCACACCTAAGCCGCACATACGAGCCGCTTTTGGCTGTTGACGGACGATGAGCTCGTACTCGAGACGGGGCCCTTCATCCATGGAGAGAAATTGGGATTAGATAATGGACGATTGATGATGATAATCAAGTATCAGAGGCTATTGGGCGTCGTCCGAAGTCGTCGAGCAGGAGATGGACAGTGCGGACGCAGCAGTCCGCAGCGGGATCAAGTCTGTTCGCAGATTATGTGTGTGAGTTTTGAGAATGTGTAAGTTGCTGGCTACAAGTATTAATAATTTGGTTGGTTCATAGGAGAAGCGAGAAGTGAAGGTGAAGTCAGTAGTGTCATGAATACAAATACTGTGAACAGTTACTCACCACAGACGGCGAATGTTATGGATCTCGAGTGGAAACGAGTAGTACCAGTGCTCTTTGTTGATACGGTCTGTGTTAATGATAATGAGTGAGTTATTGTTGTTGGTTGTTCCGGTGAGAACAAGGTACACGCTGACCAAAACGGTGGGAGACGAAAAGTAAAAGTAAAGGATGCTGGACCCCAGTGCCCTTGTACTTGGGAGTGATCACTAGTATGGATGTAAGAGCTTCAGTGATCGTTCCAAGGAGTGGTCGATGATGTCCCCGTCGGCAGAGGCGAGAGACTCGGGGAGAGAAGACAGAATCAAGATCGGATGCAAAACCAAGCCACTGGAGTGAAATCCCGATTAAATTGCATTGCACATGACGATTCCAGAATCCAATCAATCAGAATCCTCTCCGTGAACGGAAGTTCGGTGATAGGGCGAGCGCTGCTATTTTTTCAACGGGAATTGCCGGCAGCAATCATCATTCAGTGGTTCCACGAGTTTATTTATATAATTCGGTAACATTCTTGGGGCAGACCAGCACGACGACCCACGCACTTCATCGTCTCTTCGCATCGTCAAACCATATATTTGATGCATCAATATCCGGCTGCAACACGATGGGCTGCATTATTATAGCAATTGATCCTGCTCTACGGCGTCCCACGATTCCCTTCTTCAAAGTCCAAGTTCGTCTGCGTAGGGCAAGGCTCCGCTCCCAATGGCAACATACGTCGGCTTACCGGACGTCAGGCTCCTCGCAGCCTAAAGAGATGGATTCCCATCCACAACGTCAGCATTCCGTGAAACACGGGACAAAAGTGTAGGCTAATCCTGATGATACATCTTACCTTGTTCACTTCGCTTTCAGCAATACTCTCAAGCTCTTTCAATGTGCTTTGAACTAAATCGCCTTTTCCAGTGAAGACCTGACCACCAATCATCTCAGGAAATGCGAAAATAAAGAGCGAGAACACAAGACCGCATACCTGAGGTGCAATGGCAACTGCCGTCGTCTCTCGGCTCTCAAGTGCACTAGCTGCCTTGAATTTGGCTTTGGAGATCGCCTTCTGAAGTTCCTGCTTATTAATGGAGCTCAAATTTCTCAAAGCCTTGGCAGCGATTGTCCCAGCCTCTTTTGCAGCCGCGATGGTCGGAGCCTGAACCAGTACTCCAAGCAATGCCCCGTCGCTGTATGTTTCATGCACAATCTCTACAGAAGCGCCCTGCGGTACCTTGGAAAGTGGCGACGTCCCTGGGGTCCATTTCAGTGAAGGCGTGGGCTCCAAGTAAGCCGCAAGCACTGGGAGCGCAGACAACGGAGACGATGTCCCAAAACCAATGAACAGTGTGGGCCTCGAGGGCGATTCAATGCGGGCTTCCCCACCAAAATACTTGGTCGTAGACCGTGCAGTAGTGGCCCCGCCTGGTAATTTGCTCAGTCCCTTTTGAATGTGGGACGTGAGGACAGAAGAGCTAATGCCATTTCCTAAGACCGCGACATTATCTTGTGTGAACGCTTTCGCTGCGAATGCGCGCACGTCTTCGACGGAAATATCCCCTCTATGAGTAGTGAAGAGTGGATTGCCCAGCCCAGAACGAAAAGCAAGAGAGTGAGCAGTGTCGATTGCAATGATGGTAGGGTTTGCAGATGCAGCATTGCATTCAGCATCAACAAGTGGGCCGACAAGCTCCCGAAGTTCGTGGGTTGCTAAATTGGAAGAGGACAAGACGCTGGACAACACATCTACGAAGTGTTCCCTGTCCAAAAACATAAATATCGATAAATGATCAAATTGAACTGACATACTCATCACCTCGAAGGAACTCTGCCGTAAGAGCAAGATACTCTCTTCCTAATGATGCAGAAAGTATCCCGCCATACAGTTCACTTTCACGAGCCAGTCTGAGAGCAGAACGCTCAGTTGTGCCCTGTGAATACGGGACGCGACGTCCATCGCCTCGTCAGTTATACGGGTTTCGAGATAAAAAAAAACAATGGAACGAGAATGCCACCTTGAAGACAAAGTTCTTAAGTACACGAGCGATGCCAGGCTTAGTCTCATATCGCGAACCGGCTTTCAAGAGAAGCGTGAGGGAAGAAGTTGCTTGGCCATGATCGAGTGCCATGATATTGAAGGGAGTGCTAGCATGCGTCGCGAATCCACGATGGAGGCACAGAGTCGACCTGCAAGCTCGACCCGTAATATGCCCAAACATAATGTAGCCCCTCCCCACTTGTGGAACAGTTGTCAAAGGGTTTTCAAGACTTCCCACGGACTGACACGTGATTAGGATGCGGCAACTCGAACGCGGACGTAAACATATTTGATTATACCAGTTCCCCTCAAACTGGATGGCCGAGCTTGCAGCGCCTAAACAACTCAAACAATAATTACCATTTCAATACAAATTTACTGACTGTCCCCAACCTGCAAAACGAGTGGATCTGTGGGCACGGAGCTGGATGTAGACATTTGCTGGATTCCCACGGTTACGGACCCCAAGACGTCAGATGCTGATTGTATGTGCTGTGGACTCCCAATCACTGTTGCTCTTGATACCCTTTTTCAGGCTGACAATATGGTAGTCTGACTGGTGATTCCCTTCAACCCACATGAAAATATTTCTTGTCCATTTGTTCATGTTCCATCTCCACCCGCATTGAACACGCGCACTTGTATACTCGTACTTGTTCTGTGGCTTGTCTGTCCCTCTGGCAACTTTCTCAATTAAACATCTTTATCCGTCCATCCACACATGCGCCGTCAGCCTGCTTCAATTCTATTTGACACCGTGGCTGCACAGTGGCCTTCGGTATCACTGTCGTTGCCTTCCTTTCGGGTGTTTATTTAGCCAAGATCCACATAGGATAAGTAGTACTAGTGACTCTTACAGGTCGACCTCAATGAGGTCGCTATCAGTGCTTGCAACTCAGGCGCTATGTAGTACCCCACTCATCTCATTTTCACTCAGCAATGATATGTAGACCCATCGCCTGTATTGGGGCAGGCCAAGAGCACACCTCAAGAGAGCATGTTCATGTCCATGCTTCGGAACGCATTAACCGTCTTACGAGGGACCAGCGACTACTCAATCACTGTGCACGTGGGCACCATGAGAGTCAAATGTTTAATCACTTCGGCAATATTGGAGTGGTACCTCATCAGTAGTACAGTGTGTGCCAAGTCTCATCAGGCATCAAACAATTTGAGGGACTCGTGGCCAACACCAATAAATTCGGATACGTGCGTGAACCAACCCGTCCAACGCCAAGTTCAAGCAGAATATGCGGCCTAGATTGTACAGGAATCTCAGATGTGTCATAAGGTAAATCAGCGGACTCACAGCTATTTCATCCTTATACTTGTGGTGCAGCGCGCGCCGCTGTAGTTTCTGCGCTGGTGTGACTAAACCTGATTCAGGAGTCCACTCATCTGATGTCAACACAACGGCCTCCAGGAGCTCGATAGTTTTAAAATTCGCGCTTTTCCCGACTGCATTGCATTCCTTCAGGACCATGCTTTGAACGCTTTTGTCCGCACAGATGGTCGATAAATCCGAATGTTGGGCGTCACCCGCAAAACCAGGTGGCGGGGAAGTGATAAGAGCGTGACGCAGGTTTGCCTCATGTGGGAAAACTAGAGCCATTGGTTGACGGGCGTCAGGAACGGCGTGGACGCAAATATTCGCCACATATTGACACGATTTGTAGATCGACTCCAACCTTTCCAGAGCGATATACTCGCCACCTTGAAGCTTCACGAGATTTTTGATCCTAGGAAGGTGTCAGTATCTGGCACACCTAGGCCACACTGTTCGCACCGATCAATGATTGTCAGCGTGCCGTCTACGTTCCACTGGCCGACGTCCCCGGTCCTGAACCATCCATCTGGGGTAAAGACATTTGGGTCCTTATTGAGATCGTCTCGTTTGAAGTAGCCACCAGTTACGCTGGGACCACGAATCCACACTTCACCTTGCTGAGGTGAATTGGAGGTGAGGTAATTGGCTTCTGGAACATCGACAAGCTTGATTTCAATCGAAGGCATCGGCGTGCCGACAGATCCATAGATAAACTGATCTGGAGTAAGGACAGTACACATGCTAAAAAGCATCAGGAAACGCGTCGCATCTTTTGTAAGGACTTTACTCACCCGCAGGACTCAGTCATGCCATACCCTTAATGTGCAATAGTCAGCCGAAGGCACAAGGTTGGGTGGTTCCATTGCACACCTTGAAGTACAGTGACAATAGACACAGACAAGAACTCCTGGGTTTCATGGGATAGGGCGGCACCACCACACAGAGCAAGGCGCAAGCGGCCGCCAGTTTGTGCCCTAACTTTGGAGAAAACTATTGCATCCGCCACTGCACTAAGCAGAGGCACCTTATTCTTCTTTAATGTGTACGCAGCATGAAATACTGCTTTGGAAATGACACCTGATTTGTTGACTTTACCCAGCACACCCTTTCTGATTGCTTCCCACACTGCAGGGACGCCGACCATGAGGGTTGGACGGAACGCGCCAATGTCTCCCTGACAATTGCGTACTGAGGCGTCAGTCAGGGTTTTGATTTTGCCATACCCAGTGGTCATCCCAAGGTAGAACAGAGACAGCTCTGTTACGTACTCGAGGATGTGAGCAAGGGGCAAGAAGGCGAGGAAAAAATCGTTGGAATGAAGACGATGGCCGAGGTGTTTGATGACTGCACCAACAGCGGATATAATGTTCGCGTGTGTAAGCATCACTCCCTTAGGGGATCCGGTCGTGCCGCTGGTGTACATAATACAAACCAAGTCCTCTCTCTTGGGAGCACGAGCGGCAAGATCGGGGATGGAAGAATCTGATCCAAGTTTTAGGACCTCTTCCAGACTGAGAACCTTGACATCTGGACGTGCTCTGGCTATGCTCTCTAGAACAGCTGGCGTCGCTTTGTCATCATAAATGACTGTTTTGACGGTTGGTGTGTTCTCGATGACCTTGGAAAGTGTAGGAAGAAGATCAGGATTTGTGAAAACCCCTACACAGTCTGGCTCAGACAGAGAATGTTTCAGCCCTTCCTCTCCAAGAGTTTCGTATGCAGTTGCGATCGTCACACCAATTGACGCGCACGCGTGACTCATCAATTGCCAATTTACAGTTGTCCCAGCATATACGTTGAAGACCGCACCAGGGGCGATGCCGAGCGACGCCAAACCACTCGCGACCGTGGCAACCTTGTCACGAAAGCCGGCAAAAGTGATGTACCTATACGGCGAGAGTTGAAAATATTTCCAAGTTTTCTTCTCTGTGACTGTCTTTCCAGCGACCATCTGGCCATTACCGAATGGAATGCATAAGATTGGTGGGTAGGATGGAGCCAAGACTCGAGCATACCTTGATGACCTCTTTCTCCTCTTCGATGACATTCTCAATATCCCTCCAGCCCAGGGCATCCTTATTAGGATACGTTCGTGCTGCATGTTGCAAGATATCATAGACAGTGTGAATACCCTCTTGAGGTTCGGTAACAAGCACGTCGGGGCTGACGTTGGACCTGCGAATCCGGGCTTGACCAGGCTGAGCTTCTGGACCAATCTCACGGCTTCCTATGGGATATGACATGCCAGGCGGAGGTTGTGTCGTGTTTGCACTTGGGTGGTTGGCGAAGCTGGCAAGAGCAGTCTTGTTGGGGAATCCGCTGCCACGCGCGGGATTCCACTTGTTATAACAATATAACACTATAATTCGGACAACTCCGCTACAATATATAGTGGGAGAACTGTATTATATTCGCACGTTTTCAGCGTCAGAAGTTACGTAATTGTGGGCTGGGGAAGTGACTCTGTTGTGTAGGAAAAAACAGTGAGAAACCTCGCATGGTTCCTTCATGGGAATCTCAAGAGTTTTGTGGTGCTGGTACTACTGTGATACATCACAGCATATATATATGCGTCTGCGATGGTCGAACTATGCCATTAGTAGCCTTTGCCAGAATGTCAACCCTCTCACGGTCATCACAACAATACCCTTCTGGAACATTTCTTCACGGATTATAAGGTAGTGATACCCGGGCTTTATTCTTGGTGCGTTTACGATACCCTGTTAGTATGAGCGAGTTGCTGAAGATGGAAGCAAAACTCAGCGGCCTTAATGAAGCGAAGGCTGGCTATTTCGGGTACCTTGGAGTGCCATCTGGCTGGGGCGCTGAACGACTGGTTGCAACCATTGCTGAGAAACGTCGGCTGATCGATAAAATCACCAGTACCCCGCTCTGCAGCAAAGATCACTCTTCGCAGAGAGATCCAAAAACCATTAGTCTTACCCCGAAATACACCAAAATAACTCGCAGTAGAGCAACGATGGTTCGTAGCGTAGTGACAAGTATTCGTGTCAAATGTGAACTAAACATATCAAGGACTCACGTTTGGATGAGACGGAATGACCTGCTCGAGTAGGGAAAGTCACGCACTATAATCGGGAGCAAACTGTCGCAGTGACACGGCCCACTGTCTCCACACGTCACTTGCGAGGATTGGGATGGGATGCATTAACTCTGCGAAATTAGCATGCACCGCTTGAGCGGTCGAATTCAAGAACACCATCTCTGTGTTGGCAACATTTGTCAGTGCAATCAAGGACTCCGTAGCTTTCTCTGCTGCAAGCACCGAGTTCTCCAATGCTTGCTATAACGTAGTCAGTTGTTATTGAAGAAAACAGCAATAGTCTTACATGGACACGAGTTGCCGCGTTCGCTCCAAGCTCGACCTCATGTAGGACAACGTGGCTACGCTTGGAAAGCTCATACATGTTCTGAAGCAACACCGTTTGACCTACGTTCGACTGACGGGGGAAATGGACCAACCTCCTGCAATAAATCTATGTGAGAATGTAGAACCCCCCATTGCAAGTTCGCGTGGCTCTGCAATGGCAATTAAAGATTTGTCGGTCGTGATGGCTGCGAGACACCCACCATTACTGCAGTGAGGTTCACGATTATATCAGTGAAAATACTACGTGTGACGTGTTTGTAGTCATCAATGGCCCGTTGTATGGTGATCAAGATGCCCGTAAATTTTTCGTCATGCTAAGATCATGTCGGTTTCCTGGAGGGTATGAAGAGTCGTCGTTTACCTCCACAAAGGACGATTGAAACTCGAGCGAAACCTAGGATTTGAATTCAGTTGTTTGTGAACAATGAGCACGGAACTTACAGTTGACACGACCTCGGAGCGATGTTGTTGCATCTCGTGATGAAACTTGTGTGAGGCAACATGTAGCATTTCCCGGAGCTGGTTGAGGAGATTGGTCAAGATAAGTCAGAATAGTACTCGGTTTCCTTCTTGCCTCGTCCCACGTCTCGTACAGTGTGTTGCGGAATTGATTGGCAGAGCGATCAAGCGTGATGGATGTTTGCTCCAAAGCAGAGGACAATGAACCAAATATCTTACGACTTGAAAGTTAGTAGTGAGAATGGCGACGGGCTTGAATCCGCGAACCCCAGTCGACTTAGATATCTCCTCAGCAGCGAGAGCCATTCGGTCGGCATCTCGTCGTAAGACTGCAAGAAGTGCTGAAATCTCGATAGTTGCATTCCTGTACAGTGACTTAGCGATATCTTAGAACTATTAAGTACAAGGCCCTCAGTACTGGACGTATCCACTGAGACCCACCAACTTCATTCCAGGTACCAAAAGCGAAGCAAAGCTGCGCTGGAGCAAATGCTTTATCAAAAAGGCGCGTAATGTCCTTCGCGTTTCTCTTACGTATTTCACGGAGGTAGCCCGAGTAGCTTGTCCAGAGTTGTGCACTGCGAGAAAGTGCTCTTTGAGCGTGTAAAGGGGATGGTGGTTCATAAAAGATCTGGGTTTCGAATAAAACCAGGCACATACTCGACGCATTGAGACTGCACAGTATCAATTTTCGACAGCCGCTTATCACTGAAAGTATAGTGGGCTTCGTTCCGGTATTCCTGACACTCCAAAGGGACAGATAGTCTCTCGGTTGTAGTGATCTCGCATAAGGTCATTGAGATGGATGCTATACGGAAAAAATGCTCGAAGTGGAAGGCGCGATGCAAAAGGAATGGACTTTCACACCTCGAACGCGAGATGGAAGATCGAGCTCTCTGTTCTGAGAGCACCTGAGAGGAATTTTCAAATAACTCAATGGTGGGATATCGCATCGCGTACTCAGATTGGATCGTGTGCACTGCCGTCTTGAAACAATCATCCCATTGTGATATCACAAGCCTTTCTCTTGCTTCCGCTTCTGGCATACTGGGACCACCGAGTGACCCATCTAAAGCATGAAAGACGAGTGTAAGAAAGGACGGTTGCGCCAGCCTTCGATCAAGCTCCACCCACCTGATCGTATCCCGCGACCAATGCCTGGGCGGTCAAAGCCAGAAGACACCCCCGTTGCCGTGAAGAACAGGCCAATAGTGGTGATGTACTTCGGTGGACGTCTCATTGAGGAACTTCACTCGATTTCGCCTCTTACGTATTGGAATCGGCCGACTCCGGACATTCAGTTGTCATTGCAACTTGGAGACCAGAATGTCGGGGTTTAATCCCAAGTTCAAGTTTTCTGTCGCATTCTCTGTTCTCAAAGGTGCTGCAAGCTATCGTATCCTCACCACTCTGTGTTGAGCCGACTTCTTGTGTTGGTATGCGTAGGCCTCGAGGATTTCGCGCTGGAATGCATTGTTGAGACTCTCGACAAGTGGTATCATCGCTTTTATGGCCCCCGTCTCACCCCCATCACAATCCAGGCAGCAGGCGGCCTCTTTTCAAACCATGTCATTCTCCGATTCTGCGATCGCGATCACTTGCTCATGTGCCTCGATTGTTACACTGCTGGGGAAATGAAATGTGCCGACTCCGTTTACCTTGTTGTATCGGATAAGAATCTCGAGTCGGTCAGAAAAATGCTTCAAAAGTCTCATATCAATAGAGTACTCAAAGGAAATCATGACAAGGAACCAAGGTACCAGGGTACAAGAGCTTGGTCTGAAGGGAAACCGGAATGTATAGATGCGGGCACTTACCCTCCATCGGACCAAACATTCCTGCTGGAAGTCCGATCATTCGTAAGAGAGTCTTATGACGCCCTGAAGGATGTTTTGACGTTCCTGCCTTCGTTGGAACCATCCACCTTCAGAGGATCCTGCTACAATCCTTCACATACTCTACCATTTAGCACTGTTACCACTACTGAAATAGCGCAGTTCGTTGGTGAAGAAATCTATGACCTACTCAATGGAAAGGCACGAGACTGTTCCCCATTGACAACCGATGACAATTGGAGAGTTGACCTAACGCGGCCAACGTTGAACATTGGTTTGCGGATACTGGGAGTTCAGCCAGTGTATAGTGATAGGTTACTTGGATCTATTCGTGCGGCGAAACTCATACCTCCTGAGCATGCGCCTCGAGTCACATCCCAGCCAGACTTTCCTGCCGCGCTTTGCCTTCTCCTCGCCATCGCCTACCCAGATTACCAGCAACAGGTCTCGATTCCGCGCGGTCGGACATCACTGCGCTGCTCATCCGCTTATCTTTTAACACGGCTGCACCCGTTCTTCAACCCGATCCCTCTACGTCGCTATTTCCGTGCGCATCTGGAACCGGGCTCGGTGCTAATGGATCCTTTTTCCGGGACTGGATCAATTCCATATCAGATGATCCAACTTGCCACTCAGCAAAGCATTGGCGTAATTGTCATTTGTGCTGACATTCAGTGGAGCAATTTGGAGCAGATTGGCCGTTCAACCGTTCTAAATGAACAAATTGTCCAAACTGAAAGGCTCCAACCTGTTCAATGGGATTCAAGTGGTGTGGGGGGTGGTTTGAGGGGTTCTGTGGTGGATGGCATCGTCTCTGGTATGACATATCTACCCGAGTATGCGAGCAACAGGGTTCCACTGCTTCCATTCATCTAGATCTTCCTTATGGACATCGTGAACTGTCGCCTTCCGCTTTGCGTCGCCTGTATCCCAAATTTCTTGCGGAGCTTGGCAGAGTGTGTCGTCCCGGTGCCTTTGCTGTCCTTTGTACGGCAGCTGCTCCCTTGTTTCGCAGATGTCTATCTCATCAATTCATCTGGCAACCTCTGCACCTGGGGTGGGAGCACGGATGCACGGAACGAGAATTTTTTATTAACGGAATGAGAACATGGGTATTTCTCATTGAAAGATTGTAGACAAAGGGTTTAATGTTGAGATGGAGTAGATGCCTGGTATTGCCCACATCTGTGTGATCACATTATAACACTACTGTGCTTGGAGTACTCGAAATCAAAGCAGAACTCCACATTTTGTTTCATTTCAGCTGATTCTCTTACGTTACCTCTGGTAATATTTGGCAGCGACTGTGGTATTTCTGGACTGCCCAAGATGTTGGAGAGCAGCGCATAATGGTGCCGCGAGGCGCTAGCATGCAGGTGCTATGTTGTTCAGTCCGATTACGGCCAGGGGGAGGGGCATTTCCCGAAATGCCAAACGCAGGATACGAGGGCGTTCACGAGGGACGGCAAAACCTATTTCAGACGACATTTTAGATCAAGTTATAGGCCATATGTACAGTGAGAAATCGATTGTTAGGCGAAGGGTGTATGTTATGAGAAGGGAAAAATTAGTGTCTTCATGCACGTTTAGTTGCTCTGGCGCTGTTGTGGGGTCCGCAATTCCACCCTGAGGGAATATATGGTCCAAGCCCTTGACAGAATCGATGAAACTAATAAGGAGAATGGATTTTTGTTATCAAAGTTGAAAGCATTCAAGCTGACGACCCAAACTGTCTCGCATCCTGGCCACGGACAGCGTACAACAGTGGACCCGTCAGCAATTTCAGCAGCATCTTCTCCAGCCGCTGTACCGCATCTGTTGGCAAAAAAGGGCGGGGCTGGTGGTGAAGGTTTGGTTGGCGGCAAAGGGTTGGTCGGGGGTGGCAGGCTGGGATCGGTAGATGCAGGCCCGGCCGATGAAGGATCGCCTCTATTGTTAGGCTGTTCTAGGCCCTCCTCGCCTGCTGGGAAGTGTTCGCGCTTGATTCTTCTAGATCGGTGGTCCAGAGAGAGAGTCGCGTGCTGTGCGCTTCAGATATCACGAGGCATGGCCTGAGGTGCTTCTGATGTCTAACTTGGACACGATTTTCTACATGCCTATTGTCCCAGAGCACCTTTATTCCTTCTAGTTCGAAGTCAGTGATTGTAAGCTCTGCAGGAGGAAGCGCTGGCGTGTCAGTGAGCGTCTAAATTATATTTCCAAACTGCGCTTGATCCTTTTGAACAACGGGTGCACTTTACTGGGACATTCCCACATGGGTTCGTTTGAGATGGAGTGCTTGCTGGCTCATACAAGAATTTGGTGAGCCTGGCGCACATCGACTTGTTGAAGTCGACTCCTTTATTCATAAGAACAAACCGACTAAGGGGGCTGGGCTTGAGACAGAGGCTACATGGCTCACTAGAACGATCAATGGAGCCATCATAGCTAGAGGGAGGATTGCTGATGATCTTTTGGTCTCACTTTAGGTCCCTTCGTTACGGTAGCCGCGAAGCGCTACGTCATCATCTGACTCAACACCAACTTACACCTGACGTCATGATACCAACCAGAACCTTCCTTCATGTAGAGATGGTCCCTCATGTGCGCTACGGTGTTATGATGGGATAGCCGCACTGCCACGTCATCACGAGGCCGCGGGGTAATAAGATTGATTTATCTCATCATCATCTATTCAAGATTTACCCTCGTCATCGCTCTACCATGGGTGACGGGGCAGTTTCTTCTCGAGCAGCTGAATTGCGCGCCAAGATGGCTGTACTTCAAAAGGAGCTCGAAGAAGAGATATCTCGTGAAGAAGGGAAAAAGAGGGGTGCGGAAGCCATTCGCGTGTCTGCCACGCCATCTCCGAGTAAGGTGTATTCATAGCCGTCAGTATTCCGCTCGCTTACGGTTTTGGAATGAGCAGAGAGGCGTAAAACGCGCGGGGAATCTTCGCACAATACATCGCCATCCGCCACTTTTCCCCGAAAACGGCAGGGCGATTCTTTCCAACGAAAGCACGACATCTCTGCAACTCTCGGTAGTTCGTCCGGGTGGGACCACCCCAACACTCTTGTGCAGAAATCTGGTGTTGCTTTAGCGTTGGGCACATTCAATGCAACAGTCGGATCAGAGAACACAACGTCCATCGTGCCACCCAGGCATAACACGACTCCGTCGTCCTCAATGGGAGGTTCCTGGGCCACATTGTCAGGTCGCAGTGAAGATTTGACTGTGATTGAAGATCTGCAACCCGGGCCTTATCATTTCAACCCTCCTCTTGCGGACCCTCATTTCAAACGGTTGGAACCGCACTCGAACATCAATCTGAAGTATGTAGGCTACATCCATTCGTTTATTGTGTGTGATCTAACCATAAAGATCTCGAGCAACGGCACATGAAGTTGTGCAAGAGCATTTAAGAGGTCGTTTCTACATTTCCCCTTCAATGCTGTATTCTGTGGCCAGACTTGCAAGAGGCGGTCACAATTATGAAGTCCCTGTAGCCGGCGAATGGGTAACCATTGGAGTCATTGCTGAGCGCGGCCAAATATCGGTCTCACGAGGATATGGCTCGCGTGTTCAGCACTCAACGGCCGAGGCACAGGGTCAAAGCCAGCTCGATGATTTGTGTGAATCATCGCAGGGAGCATCTGAAGTGGTACACAAATCAGCAAAGAAGTATCTCACGCTCCGTCTTGTGGATTTTGGCCGTCGAGGACAGGACCCAACCACAGGGAAATCCGTGATCAAGGGCGATGCACTTCTCAATATGATCCTGTTTGAGTCTGATACTGTTTCCAGTCTCAAAGATGCAGGAGGTAGTGAGCAGCGCGTTTACAAAGGTGGAAGTGGAGGAGTATTTGAGGCGAGCTCGACACTCCGCGAAGGAGCAGTGATAGTCGTTACGAATCCTCGTATATTGAAGCCATTTCAGGTGAAACAACCCCCTCGGTCCGCTCGATCAGAATGCTCACGCTTTTCCACCAGCGAGCGAAGGACAAGCCTCATCCTATGGACAACATTTTTGCTATCACACCACAGCATGAGGCTTCTGTTATGATTATCGGCACGTCCCAGGATTTGGGCAAATGCTCGGCGTTAAGGCGAGATGGTACCACATGCAAATCATGGTACGACAGGCGGGTCAGCGACGTGTGCGAGTATCATATACAGAGAGCCGTCGAGTCCAGACGTGCGTCTCGTCCAGAATTCTCTTCAGCGTAAGAGTTTGGATTTTGGATTCGGGTAGAACCTATCGCTGACGCTTCCGAAGCACCGGGGGCATGCTCACAGGCCTTCGCAAGGGCAGAGCTGGCAGCACATTGTCCGATTACAGTCGGAAGCGGGGTCTTTTACCGAGACAAGGAAGTAGTGACCAGGCGACGAAAGATCCATCGTCAGGGACAGGAGCAACTTATGTATTCCCAGGTCATGTCGCGAGGTTCGACACGGGTGAACAATTCCCCAAACCGGGTCTACGTACTTATTCGCCCTTTCGTATTTCGAAACCCGGCCCGGGGCTCGGTGCCCAAGGCGCTGAGATCGCACAGTCGATGGAAAGTGGTACGGGACGCAGTCAAGGAATGGGGGGCTTGGTGTGTGCGGGAAGGTCTATCAAAGCGAGGGACATGATCAAAACACCATCTCACACCCCCGCTGTCACCCCACCGACAAGTCAGAGGTCTGTAACTTGCCCATTCTCTGCATCAACTATTCGTAGAATAGGATTTGACCCTTTGCGGATATCCCGAGAGCGCATCAAAGATAACGTGCAAATAGTGGGACAGTACCCATCCATTCTCTGATCGTTGAACTGATAATCTGACCAGCGTCAAGTCGTCGAGGAACTGCGCAACTCCCAGCCCAATTCCGAAGGAGGATCAAGTCAATCGGCGAAGGCGACTCGTCCATCCCGCGAGAGGGTAGGGAAGGCTCAAATAGATGCGGGTACTGAAAGCGATGAGGAGCTGGAAATTATATAAATTGATGCTAACTACGTATGTGTACTTCACTAGTGTATTCGTTAACACGGGTCACGAACGCTCCTTTACTGTAAGACATTGCTCCCTTCTCGACTTGAGGGCATACTGATATGATGTTGTCAACCACTTGATGTATCCGATGTCTTGAAGCCGGTTAGCTACTAGAAGTCGATGGTGAAGTGTCTCCAAGTCATCGAAGAGCAGGTATGGGGGAACTGTATCATCGGGGATCCAGTTGTCAGATGTCAGACGAACTAACCGTCGGGGTCCGGCTAGGCAGGTGCGGGCCGCTTCAGAAGACGGTCTAAGGTCAGGCCTATGTAGAACACTGGATGGAGGATATCGCATGGCGAATTCCCGAAGTAATTGCATCGCGCCGTCATAGTCTTCAGCACTGAGAGGATTCCGCATTAGTGGCATCGCCCTGTGGGAAGGGAAAGAAGGGCTTACAGCGCGCAGACCCGAATCATTGCCGCCCACATCTTGGTGACAGTACGAGCCAGTGGCACATTCCAAGACCCCGTTCCACCCTCGTCAGTCCATTCACGCCAAATAGACTGTGCCACGGGTAAAACTTCTCTTTTTTCCGCGGAGGTCCGGGGGTGGGCACATCGTTCCAATATTAGTTGATATGACCTATCCGACCTGGTTACCCCGCTCTCTTGGAAAATTTGGTCAAATATGGATTTCGCTTTCGATAGGGAGGAATGTGCGAGAACGACACAGAGGTAAGCATTCAGTAAATGTGTTGAGTGGGGCACATTCCAGTATAGTGACCTCGATTCCTCGTTTGAAGCATCGCGGGAGTCGAGAAATTGTGAGAACAGAGACGAAGCTTCGAGCAGGACCTCTTCACGGGTTGCAGGCAGAGCCACGGAGGATAGAGGCTGCCTCGAGTTGTACCGAAGGGGAGGGGAAGGGGGTTGAAGTGGTGGTTCCGGGCGCGTACCTGCATATGGGCGTCGGTCACCCACGTGCCGTAGTGAATGCATAGGCCGTGGTCGATATGATGCATAGGTGAGGAATACATTCGAGAGAACACGATCATCCAGTGTAAGTGAATCATCCCCGGATTGGTGTGCTCGTGTTAGTTCAAATAAGATCCACTTAGCCCGTCTCAAGTCGCCATTGCGCTTTGTACACTCAAGCAGCGCGACAAAAGTTGTTTGATCTGGTTTCAAAGACTTGTCACCCGAGCGAAACAATTCAAGCATTTCTTGAGCGAGCTGGAATGCACCGTGTAAATGATTTCGGGATTTAGCGCAAGCCAGGATGGTAGAATTGTAAGCTTCCCGGGTAGGCCGTATTTGGTGATCGGTGCTCATTTCAGCAAACAAGTCCAATGCACGCTCAGCTTGGGGTGTTGGTGCATCCGCACAGGCTTTGAGCATTACGCTGTATAACTGGGCGTCTGGCACGGGGTGCGCAACATAACGCATGTGGGAAAACATGTCCCATGCCAGTGCACGAAAGTCCGAGCGTGCGTATGTGAGAAGAGATCTGATGATGAATGAGTATGTCTTCAGTTGAGGCATAATGTTACGCTCCTCGTAGGAATGTATCAATCCGCAGGCTCTTTCGATCTGGCCGTTCCGCACGTAAGCCTTCACATGCAAGTGCACACCGGCTGAATCAATAGGTTTTCCAACTAGATACGGTGTCACTGATTGCTCTGAAATGACCGGGCTGCGGCTTACACGCGCAAAAAAGTCCCTGTATAGCCTCGAAGGCTGCAACCCGTCCTGAATCAGCTAGATCTTCCATCACGAATGATGCTAAGCCGGGAGGGACATTCAGTCCTGATTTCTTGAGAAGGATCAGCGTCAGGGGGCCAATGTTTTGCAAAGTGCACAGACCAACATCGTTTCGAGGGATCGGAATACTCCATTTTTGTCTCGCGATGACTTGAAAGGATATCGAAAAGTGTTGGAATGGGACAGATGAGGCGAGACTTACTAGATATCGAACAGTTTCGAACCATTCCTTATAGGATAGCGAAGGTGGCGAGGCTGAGTGTTTCTCCTTTGACGAAATAGGCGACAAGATATCATGGTAGAATCCCTCCAGGTTCTCCTCTGAATAATGAGGCGAACCGCTGCCCTGGTTCATCGGATAATGAGGTCAGACTCTATGACGAAGCTATGGCGTAGGTTACTGACCTGGACTGGTCCAACGACAGATAAAGTATCGTGTTTCTGCGAATTCCAATCGTGCCTTGAAACCTTCAGCACAACCTATTGGGTGAAGAAGCGAGTGCGTACCGATGACGGGCGAAGGGTTGTATACCTAAGCCATTCTCTACCGTCAATCTTCGCAAACTTAGGCGAAATATTTGCTGGACCACTGTCATGTGAGGGACCAAGATCGGCTGTCGCCGATGACTAAGTCTCAAAGGATCTCACCCCGATTCCACCTCTCACTTTAACACCAGCTCGAAAATAACTGTCTTTATCTCAATGTGTGGCCGTTTCGGCCTGCCGCATCTCGTGGGTGTCTTAGCCCCTTAATACATTGGAGACCCGCAGAAGCGGTTCCTTAGTCAATTAGCTACATAAACGTCTCCTACCCTTATCTTGGTGTTGAGAGGTTCATGGATGAAAACCGGTTTAGCGGAAGGTACGTGAAGAGCTGAGAGAGGAATTGTTTCTGACTCTTGCTGGCTAGATACAATATTGCACCTCGGTCGAATATCCCTGTCATCAGGCGTGAATCAACACCCCCCGAGGACCCTCACGCTCGCATGGGTTCACTTATTCTGCACACCATGAAATGGGGAATTGTTCCCCACTTCACTAAACATGATGGTTCACTGAATACCATCAATGCGCGATCTGAACATCTCATGGATGGTACCTCCGCTCTCTGGAATTCTCTTAAGAGCAAGAAGCGGGCACTCGTGCCGGCACAAGGATACTTTGAGTGGTTGAAAAAGGGGAATCATCGAATACCTTATTTCACCAAGTATAAGGATGACCACCTGATGCTCTTTGCTGGACTGTGGGATGTTGTATATCATGAAGGTTGAGTGTGTAGATTCCTTCACCACAGCTCATCTCAGTTGACATTCCATTCAGGATCTCAAGAGCCATCGTTCACCGTCACAATTGTCACGACTCAAGCCTCCAAGAGGCTGGCCTTTCTGCATGACCGCATGCCGCTTATTCTGTCTTCACAAGAAGACATTGAATTGTGGCTGAGCCCGGAAGATTGGTCCCAAAAATTGTGTGGACTACTTCACTCCAATGAATCGGATTTTGACTGGTATGTGTCTCAGCAGGTCTACACAGTATGCTTTGATGGTCTGATTACATTAGTTATCCTGTCCCTAAAGAGGTTGGGAAAGTTGGGACAAACAGTCCCACATTCTTTTTGCCTGTCTCCCAACGTAGGGATGGCATAGAAGCATTTTTTCAGAACCAGAGAATGAAGGTAGAAGGTAACTGCATTGTGTGACCCCAAGGGAGTGCTTATACATTGGCATTATGTATGACCACCAGATACACAATCTAGGTTGCATTTGAGCCAAAGTCAGGTTGGATGGCCACAACACTCTGGAGTTGTTGAGAACTTTGCAACTAAAAGTGTTAAGCAGCATGGTCCAGCAGATGAGGATGATGATCTGGTTAGTATTGTTATGTTTTGAGACATTTGCTGTGCCTTCACCTGTGTATAGATGCTCCCCAAACCAAAGAAGCAGAAGATTGATGGAGTACACAAACAGCAGAATGGGAAAATTACAGAATATTTTCCTAAGAAAGGGTGAAGACCTGTCAGCCCTTGCTGCTAATTTTACACTTGGCTCCAAAGTTTTTGCATGGCATGTGTTGTATTTACATTTGTATGCTGGACCTTAAGTACAAACAATGATCATTGAAGTAAGAGGGAAGCTTGCTTGAAGCTGAGGAAGTCCCCATGAGGAGGCACTGTCATATCTGTACAATCCTGACCTCCACTCTAGGCAGGATCCCAGTCTCTACTAAAGTAGAGGCTGGGACCCGACGGACCCTCTTGAATAGAGGTCAGACATGGAAATGCTGAGTAAGGGAAAGTTGAATAGTGTTCAGAAATGGAAGTGCCTCATAAGGGAATATGCATCAGACAACCAATAGAGCTGGCCATTCCATTCAATTTTTTTGTATTGTACATGTAGCCAGTATGACTCAGCACTTTCTCTTGTATTGTACATGAAGTTGGTATGACTGTCAGGGGACGATCCCCAGGTCCCCATGACCCCTCTCTATGGCCCACAGCCTAACCTGTAAACAGCCCTGTCCAGGGCACAATATACTGTGGGTAAGTGTAAGGGATTAACTATAATTCTGTCAGGGATGTGTCCAGGGTTGAGGCGGTCCGGGTGTAGTGCCCGGCGCTGAGGACCTCACAGGGGTGGATCGGGCATGCGACTGGCGGGCCCGATGTGGGACAGCTGTCCCTGGCCACTCAGACTGAAGTGGAAAAGGTGAGAAGAAGGTTACTTCTTGTCATATCCATACAATCCCGACCTCCGCTCCGGGCTCCCGGAACTCCAAAACTGATTCCGGAGCCCTACTTCCCTTCCGTCACCTTCTCCTTGCCGACTCCCAAGAGGTTATCCCACCTCCGGCTCCAACACCACCTTCGGTCCGACTCCGGAACATTCCGGGTCCGACCTCAACCTTGACACCTCCCAGACGAGCACGCAACACCTATGCCCCTGACTCCGGACCTCCGCTCCGGAATCCCATTTCATGTCTCTGTCTCCGGAACCTCCGGTCTTAGCTCCGACCTCGGACTTTGACCCCACCTCCGCTTATACCCATTGTATTGGTTAGCTCATTCCATTTAATTACGTTTGCCAATATTCCGGAGTTTAACTTCCGAGTTCGGACTTTCCGGACTTACCTCGGACCTTGCAACTATTGCATTGTCCTATTCAATTCTGCTATTCTCCCTCATTCCTATTTGGGCTGCTGCTTCCTTTCTATTCAGTCAGCTGGCCATTCCCCACTCCCATCCTCCTTCCTTCCTCCTTGGGCCTTGGCCCATCATTCCTCCTTTGAGAAACACCATTGAGTCAAACCCTTGACCCTCGGTGTTGTTCCTCTTTCCATCTCCCTTTGTCTCCTTTTCGTCCTACCCTTGTTCCTTTTGATTCCGGACCCCTCCTTATATACAATGTACATAGTAACTTGTAACCTCAGTCCGAAATCGACTTGAATTCCCCCAAGAGACTTCCCCTCTGCTAGATCCGAAATTAGGGACCCCCAGGACAACCAGCAATGGCACAGCGCTCCACCTGAGTCGCTGAGGCCGAGGTCTGTCATGACCAACAAATCCTGGGGCTCTGTCAGCGGCGAATCAATGCCGATAGGCGAATCCGCCGACCCGAAACCCAATCTAACCAGCCCCCAATCCGATTTCTGGCCCCCTGCCCTATCAACCATGCACTGCATCCAGTCCTCCACCCGCATCTGGACCTCTGCCCGCATCCGGACCTCCACCTGCATCTGTACCTCTGCCCACCTCCACACCCTCTGGACCTCTGCCACTCCTGGTTGCCCTCCACACCCTGTGGTCAGGCCAACACTCCCCTCCGACCTTGCTGGCCATCATGCTGCCCTTGTTTGTGACGGCACTGACGGACCACCCTCTGTTGCGGACTTGTCAGCACCGCGCTGATTTCCATGTCCCTTCACGGACCTGTGTCGGCACCGCACCGACCCCGCTTATTTGCGGACTTGTATCGGTGCCACGCGCTGACCTCCGCTTTTCTCTGGCCATCTTGTCACTCGGCAGCATACCATTCATTCCTTGCCGAGTGCCTATACTGTTCATCCATTCATTCGCTTAACTTGCCAATATTGGCACTTGATCCATGTGCTGATGCACTTCTTATTACCTGTCAATATTGGCACTTGATCCGCTTTTGTTTAGTTCATTGCCTCCCATTTCCCGGGCTCTTGTCCTTCATTCAGTTTGACAATCCCCGCTTATTTCCGCGCCGGACCGCACCGGACTGACCAGTCCTTCTGTGTTTCCCTCCTGCCTATTTATATCCTGTAAATACTTTCGGGGACCTTAGTCTGAAATCAACTAGAGTACCCCCCCCTGTCTGGTCTGAGTCTCTCCTTCTGCAAAGGGGGCTTCCCCCCTCTGAGTCCGTGCTCGTGGAGTCCGTGCTCCTCCTATAGGCCCGCTCCGCCCGCAAGTCTTGTTTGAAGTCCGCTGTAAGTGCCAGTTTGTAAATACAGGATCTTCCCCAAACGTCAAGCTCAGGGCACAGCGCTCCACCTGAGTCACTGAGGCCGCGATCCCACTCTGCTAACCTTGAACAGCGCTTCCGGACGCGCCGCATATTTCCGCCCGCATATCCGCGCATGCGCGCTCCAACAGACCTCTGCATCACCTCCGACTCCGACAATATCCCAGCCTCTGACAATAATCCCGTCTCTGACAAGGTCCTTCCATGCTAAGTCTCCGATTCCACTCCGGAGTTGTCCGAATCCGCATGTTCTAACACTTCTTTGGTTCCCACTTCAGGTACATTTATGTACATGCGGCTTGGGTCACATGACGGATGCCACATCATCCTTGGAGGCAGCTACAGCCATCCGGGTGTCCCCATGGGGATCCCGAGAGCATCCTGTCAGAGTACGGCTACTTACTCACCACTGATGACACTATAGAGCACCTGACCTATCCTGTTCACCATCCCCAGACTGGCATAGCCTGATCACACCCCTGGACTAGTACTGCATTTCTTTCTGTGAAGCGGCCCTGCTGAAGGAGCGGAGCTGGATCACCTTATGTAACCAGTTTCCTATGTCCAATAATGATATTAGAGTTTGTGCTGATTTGTATACTGACTGTGTTTTGGTTGCCAAATATGTAATTGTTCACTGTCTAAACAACAATAAACACCCCCCAACAATCTCACCTGACGTATAGATCGTCTATGGATAAAATTTTATATTGACTTTACTATAATTTCTAGTCAATATTACACCTAGATATACCACTTTTCAGTAGGACATGATTTTCCTGATAATTTACTGAAAGAAAATGACTAATAAAATAATTCTGCAATAAATGTTACTCAATACAGGAGTGACCAAACTGCTCTTTCTATTGCTTAGAGTGCGTGCTAGTTATCTAGCAGGTTCAGGATCGCTCACTTTTCTCCTGTGGTGTGATAACCAAATATTACTGAGAGATTATTCAATTAAGAAGTCCCTCCACCAAATTCTCACTAATTCTCACTATGACACTTTTGTTCAGCTGTCTAACTGACCCTAACTCACGCTTAGAGTGACGTGTTAGTTTTATATTAGCTAACAACTAATATTTGCTTTTATCTTTTGGAGCAAACGAACCAACCACTGGTGAGGAGAATTAAACTTATATTTCTACCTGAGGTTTGAGAGGGGGCAGAAGCGGCAGCCTTTTATGCTTTTCAGAGGCCTCTCTACTCCCATGCCTCGCACTAGTTACATGTGCTACATTTGTATTATAGATAGTTCTAGAATGATATAGGGGCTTGGGCTGTGTAAGCTTAATAATGGACTTAGGACATGACTCAGCAATAAGTAATTCAGTTCTTTGTCTTTTGGGCCGATCTTAGCGGGGTCTTGTAGCGCTAAAGCTATGCTCACACCGCCTTAATTACAAACGGTTATCTTTAGAAATGACTCAGCTATAAAGGAACTTTCTAGACTGTTCTCTAATTCACCCCTTTTTGTGAAGCCACATCATTACTAATGTTCTAGAGCTTTCCCAATTGATTAACTGATCCGCGGACTTTTGAATCACTTTATGCTTATGATCCGAGATCCAGATCATCAATCATTCCTTTGTTCCAATTTATTTGAGCTTAAAATCAAAAGGTTTTGATGAATCATGGGAAAATATACAAGATCCGGTTTTTTAGCATTTTCTCCTCTTCTGATGCAATCAAAAACTGTCCGCCCGCGCCGGAGAATACTCTGTCATATGGTATTTGGTTCGCCAGACTTTTGGGCGCCAATATATTTCCCTTGAGTCACATTACTTTTTGTAAGAATTAGCAAATAAATATATATGAATTATAAGGTGTTTCGCCGTTTGAGCGATATCTCCGTCAGTTTTGAAGCTTTTTGAATGAAACAAAACCGTGGATAAAGTTTAGAAACAGTCCTTTCAGATGGTGAAAATATTACAGTCAAAAGTTTACTGGTTCCCGAGATATTCACATTTCTTTCCCAATGTTCCTTCTTATTCTGCTGTCTATGTGCTATTTTCTTGTTGTAGGGATACATCCTTTGAATATTACACCTATGCCAGGTTCTAGGCATGCTTGTAGTAGATTAAATCTCATGCTACATGGGTGTGGATAATTTATAATGATCTTCTAATGTCTGTCCAGTCTCATAAAGATCATGAGATCTGTTAAACATCTGAACTTGTCACCTGATTGTTGACTATTCTGATAGATCATTGTTTTATTCTTTGAATATTATTTCTCCTACACCGCATAGCCGGGTGTGCCAACCTTATCATTCTCTGAGTAGTGAGTGAGGAAGGTAGTTTTCTTCTTTCACTTCCCCCTCGCTGCTCAGGTATGTTGTGCATAATATACATAATGTAATACAATTCACTTCCTCCTCGCTGCTCAGCTGGAGTCCTCAGCATGGACTGCATCCTCAGGGTCTCCCATTGAAGTGGACCTCCATCCTTCTAGTGACAACTCTGTCGACACCTCTGAGATCCTTGATTTGGATTCAGAGCAGCTCGGTGCCCTGACACATCCGCTGCAGGCGCATGTGCTGGGCACAGCAGGAAGCCATCTGGGGTGTCTGGGCCAGATGGGTTAACAGTACAGTGATACAAGGGAAGGTGGTCCATGTAAATAGAAGGAATAAACAAGAAGAG